CCCCCCCCCCCATGCCAGGTTAGTTCACCTAATGTTCCATTTACATGTAGTAGCCCTTTCTGTGGCCAAATAAATGTTGGAGGTTGTATTTAATTTGTTAAAAAAGCAATTTTCAGCATGATTATCAGTATTCCATACTTGCAGTTAGTCTCCTTCGGTTAATGACCTTGTTACCTTCAACTGATACACATTATTTGAAATTAGGATTTATACAAATTAAATTACTTCTAATGGAGATGCCAACATTTGCAAACAACTCCCAATGGTTTTATTATCTTATGTAAAGATTTTTTTTATCTTTTAACTGTTTAAAATAACTAATTGAATTTTGATGTGTCAGTTTAGAAATAAATTCTGTGCAGTCCTTGAATTGAAACTATTTTTGGAGTAACATGTAGCAGCTCTAGAGCAGAGAGCTACTAAAATAAAATGCAGTGTCAAGTTTTTTTTTTGGTGAGAAACAATGTCATCAGAATCCAGAGAACCAGAATAACCAAAAGGCAACTGGTCAATCTACTGTAGCTGTGCATTATTCATGTACTACTTCCAGTATATAGACAACTTACTCGCATTTTGCTGCGTTCTCATCAGGACCAGAAATAGCCAAGCGGATGTCACTAGATGGCCATAATGCTTATACACAGTTTTTAAATCAGAGAGAGTGCACAGGTTGTGTGTGGGGGCCACAAGGTTGGGGGAGGGGGCAAGGTACGGCAATCAGTCTTTTTGTAATCTGGTTATATTGATGTGACCATTTAATTTTGTGGTGTTTGGCTAGAATTTAGGAAACTTGAACACAAGTCATCTTCATGTACATGTAACATCCTTGTTTTTTAACTCAAAGCTAAGTAATCAGGCTAAATTTATAATGCATGATGCTGTGTGTTTGGGGAGACTATGCAATTAAGGTTTATGGGCCCCAGCCCCTGAGAATTAGAATCCCTCCCAAACCCCCCGCGATTGTGTTCTATAAAAGTCCAGTGGTAAACATGGCCATGGTCTGATTATTGTGGTTTTGAGTAATTTAAGGGTGCTTCATTGGACTTAATGGACTTTTTCTAAAAAGGAAATAAGCACATTAATCAAATTAAAAATGTGTTGGCTTCAGAGATGCAATTAGGTGTAACTATGATTTTGTCCCACTAATCTGCTGCTTTATCCACATCAAATTATCAGCCAGTTGGAAATCAGTGCTTTATATAATTAAGCATGCAACAGTATCCCCTGAGACTTGGCCCTGATTTTGGGACAAAACCATTAAATTGTTATTTCATGCTCTAATGGGATCAGAATATATGTTAGTTCACATTTTGATGATGATTTTAAAGAAATGTATTACCTTGGGAATCATTTTTTTATGTGATAATGTAATTTATGATCAATTAGTAGAATTGGTATGCCCAGGAATGACATGGAGCTCACACATTCCAAGCATGATTGTTGTTTTTTCAATTAAAGTGACTAGGTGCAATAAGTACATAAAAGTTAATTGTTTCACCAAAGTTTTCTAAGTAGAATATGATCAATCAATGTCCTTAAGGTTTACGGTAATCCACCTTGCTGAATCTATGCAGATTTGAATATTTAATGAAAGTAAATGCTGTTGTATAATACATACTTAGTAGTTAATGATAAATTTGAAGTAAAAATATACACATTTCTGCGATTAAAAAATTGTGATTTGTTCTGTAACAATACTTCTACCTAGAGAGCTGAATAGTTCTTGAAACTGTCTTCCGCAATTAAAAAATTGTTATTTGTTCTGTAACAATACTTCTACCTAGAGAGCTGAATAGTTCTTGAAACTGTTTTTTTATATTTCTTAATTCAGTTACGGTGGTTGAAGTTTTGCCCAAGGAGAAAAAGCAAAAGGAGGAAAAGACCATCAACTTAGGACAATGCACTGCAGATTTACTTCCATTGATAAGGGGTATGACTTAATTTTCCCAGAAATTCATGCATTAGCACTGTTTTTTATATAGTATTTTGCATAATACTTTCCGTGGTTTCATTTCCACACACTTAAGATTAATAATCTCTGCAACTTAAAGCTGTGAATTGTGTCTACAGAAAATATGATAGAATTTGTTTTTCTTCATAAAGAATGAGTTTTATAAGTTTTTATAAAATTGCTGTAGTGCTTGCGTGAAAGCATGTTTTCATTATGAATTGCCTTGGGAAGAAAATGATATTGCGTGTGAGAGAGATTCCATTGTCTACTGTTGATGGTTTGCATTTGACATCATTATGCATGTACTAATAGTCTTTTAGGTATAGATTCTGTTTGAATGGGAGCTACACACCTGCAAACTATCAGTTAATTCTCACAATAAAAAACACATCTTTTGTAAGTGTTTATGAAACCACTTGCTGTTTTCCCAATAACAGAGGTGTTTTCACGCATACAAGTATCACTGTGTGACATTGCAATATGGTGCTGAAATCTAACACCCCGCCTTCCTTCCAATATTTGTGTATTATTCAAACTTCCTTTAATTTCAAAGAATGATGATATTTGAAATTATGTTACATCAATTTAATTCCTTTTTTTAGAATGCGTGATATAAATATATGCATATACCTTATAAATACAATTTATATCAAATCCTATTCCAGGAGAACTGAAACATAAGTACACCCTCCCTGTGTATCCAGTACAGGCTTCTCCCATGGAAAATCTGCCTCCTGAACACCCACGGGTAGGTCTGGCCTTTATAGTACACAGCTATGTTTTTTATGCACAAAGTTCACCATTTGGCTTAAACATTTCAATACTTGTAGATTAATAGATTTTAATTATTTACTAGTATTTTTTATTTACTTGAACCCAGCTCACTCGTCAGAATTTCTAGACCATTTGTATCAGGTATAATGAAGGAAATATTGTCTTGGGGAAATTTGTATCGTTCAAATGATGTGAGTAATCACCATACTTAAGACTAGAAGTCAACTCTCATTTTGTCATCAGATAACAATAAGTTCCAGATTAATCTTATTGTTCTAATGCCTGCGTACCCTAGAGAGGTTAGTTTTTAAAAATTTATGTTTGTGAGCAAGGTTTTTATTATTCAGAGTGGGACTGACATTGTAGACAAAACATTGAACTTAGAGCCACTGCCAAGTCTGTTCAACAGCTTTTACTGCACCCAATATGCTTTGTCCACAGCATTATTTCAAGCATTATTTCAAGCATTATGGTTGCAATCATGCTTTATTATCATCAGAAATTACCTAACCTGTTGCCTTTAATTTTATTATCACAATTTTACATAACAATATATCATGATTTGTGCCTTGTAAATGATGCCCATCATTATTGTTATTCATCTTCATTTAGCCTGAAATAGATGTTGTAATCTCCGTGGAGAACCCTCTCCTGACTGAGCAGCAATTGAGTGAGTGTAACCTGATGCAGGTGACCATAGAGTCTCTGTATTCCCCTCCTGATGCTTGGCAGTTGACTGGACCCCAGTACATGTATCTAGCTGCTATGCCTATGCCCCTCACTGCTGAGGTAGGTCTATAGTCCTCACAACGGGGGTGGGAGTGGGGGGAGTTGACCATAAATTGGAACTGAGGGATTCCTCTACCAGAACCTTCTAACTCATACAAAATGATGTTGAATTAGCAGTGTAAGTCACAGAGAGAGAATTGATGGATAGACAGGTATAAAAGAGATAAAGGACTTGTGGGAGAAAAAAAATTAAATAAGTGTGGTCTTGCATTTTATCTTTCTGATTTACTTCTAAATTTCCAACCAAAATGATGGATAAACTTAGTGTTTTTTAATCTTTTAAGTAGTTTATTCTGCTACCATCATATTAAAGAAAAGTGTTTCCATGATTACAGAAAGAACAACCAATAGTTTATGCCAGCGGCACCCTAAAACCAGGGGTTGAGAAAGAACCTCCAAATAAACAGAAAAAATGGTTTGTTGGTGGCAACGCTCAGGGTCAGGCGGCTTACATACCTGACAGGTGATCATTAAGTTTCCAGAGAGTAAAGTATGAAGTGGAATGAAAAAAAAAATTAATTAAAACAAGTATATCATTATTTTGAGTAAGTTTGTCAATTTCAAACTCAATTTTAAAAAAAGCAAATATGTTCATTAAATATATATATTTTTTGTAATTTCTTGGAATTAGACTTTTGATTCTAGATGATTGATCTTAATCCTCTGCATAAATCATTTTTTGATCAATTGCAATCAGTTAACAACAGTTTGTATACTCCTGTGTTAACTGTGAGATTCCAGCTTGGTGGCTTTCAGTTATGTTAACACTCCTGGACAAATGTTTATTTTTAGCTTTCTGTCTGAAGACCCAGTGGAAGAGGAAGATGGTGATTTCCGTGCAAAGACTGATCGCGATCATCGTGAAGTCTCTGAGCATGACAAGAACAGGGTAACATGGAACACAGAGAAAAGATGTTACCTAGATGCTTCCGGTACAAAAAGGTAAGATACAAAACTCTCCTAATGCAGTGGACTGTCAAGTGATGTGTCACTGGGCCTGGGAACAAATAAAAAAAGATTAAAAACAATATATGGATGGAGTAAAATTTTTGCCCTTTCTTATATTAAACCTATGTAATTAAAGCAGTTATTTGTATTTGTATCATTTTGGTCATGAAAATTAGCAAGAGTAAAGGATATATGTTTAATTTGATTTTTTCTAACAGCTTGCAAGAGAAGATAGCCAAGACTCGTTATTGGCCATTGGAAGTGATGAGAATTCCACTGCCTGCTGGCGGGAAGGGCAAGAAGGTGGGTCAACCATTTTTATCTCTCTTTTTTTTTTTTTTTTGTAAAATAATTGGTACATTAATATATGCTTATGAGTGAAACTGGCAGCTATGTGCATGTGTATATTTTTATTTTAACAAACTAAAAACTGATTTAGTAACATATATTGCTGTCTTATAATAATAAGGCATAGCACTAACATTTTATCTGTATTAATGGCATAATCTGTTTGGTTTTCATTTGTATTTATTAACTGAACTTACAACCTCTGCTTCACAATGGTTAAGTTACATTTTCAGATAATTTTTCTTTCAAGTATACTGAAAAATTACAGACCATTCTATGCTGTGCAACCTTTGCGAAAAGTGCACATTTTCAAAAACTATCGAAGATTATTGTCTCACTTAAAACTTGTTTCAAAATCACATTAATTTTACTTAATTATAATTTTTTTAATGGTAACTTGTATTTTTTTCTAAGTTCATTTACCCTTTATCACTGTTGTCCATTCACTCACAGTTATTTTTATTTTCCTCAGTTATCTGCATATGGATTACGCACGGGGGTTGGTATTGTAATCTGTTCTTTCTGTTCTCTCTTATTCAATTATTGGAAAATATTACACCAAATTGTAACATATTTTCCACTACAGGGAGCAATTTCTTCTATCCTTGCCCAGGTTATCACTTCTTTGCTCAGTTATTCCGTAAAATTCCTGATTAGGTTCTGACTTTGATATGATTGCATGGAATTGCTTTTTCTTCCGATTACATCCCTCATAAAAACAGACCCTTATTTCCTCTTGGGCTTTCTGTATTCTTGGTAAATGCTTCCAATAACTTGATTCAATGAAACTTATTTTATGCTGTATCATTTTGGTATGAAATAGGAGCTTTTTTAAAAGGAAAATTACAGGGTTTTATAATTGGAAAATAATTTTTAAAAAGTGATTAGTTTAGGTGCAATACCCACTGTGTCCTACCCGCTAATTATTATCAATTATTTTAAATTTTTCTTTTATTAGCAATAACATATTAATGGTTACTAATATACTCATTGTCACTAACCAGATTGTTTTCCCCCTTGCTTTAGTCTGTGGTGATGACAAGACTTACTTCTTACAAACTTGTGGTCAGTATTTATTCTTTAAAATATTATGCACATCTCACTGGCATAACATTTATCACATTAAGAAAATCAGTGTTGATTCTGCATGATCATATTTAATTTTGTCTTGCAAATCGCAATGTTTTTCTTTTCCCTTTGTCATAAGTGAAAGGTTTTTGTATTGTGCAAATGAAATAAGCTGTGAAAGGAAATGGCTATTCTCTTCTCTTTTTTAAGTTGTTATTCATGCACATTCTGCACCAATAGTTATAGACATGTTTCTGATACACTGCCTTGCATGCTGCTATACTGGCTGCATTGTTCAACGTGCCTTGCTTCAATCACCCATCCCACTACACAGGCTCATTAACTGGCACATGCTGTTGTTATGTGTGAAATACAACAACAACAAATTTAGATTTGGAGGTTTGCATGAACTATGTATGTAAAGCACACCACATCTGCATGTTAGCATGCTTTGAAATGATACAAAGTGTGTATATCCTGTTTTTCATCCAATTTGTAAATTTAAGCTCATTTGCACTCAAACTGTGAACGATTTACTGTTTTCCCATGCATGCACAAAGAAGGTGTTATTTTCTGGAAAGATATTTATCCATCTGTATCAGCTGGTTGAATGTTTTATTACTTTTAAGTGTACAGATTGTGATGATATGAGACCTCTTCAGTTAGAGCTGATTTCCAGAAGTTTTGGGTAAAATATACTGGTAACTTTCGACACATTAGAAATGTGAAAAAAATACTGATCTTTCTTCACTATTTTATGGAAACATAATTATCAGGAAATATATCAGGAAATGTATATATACATTCCTGTGTCACGCCACAAGAAAGAAAAAAAAGTAATTAAGTAATATTAATTGAAGTTACGTTTTTGGAATATACAAGTATGTTACTGCAGTAAAGTTGTGACTTAACAAAAGTCATTTTATATTGGCACCAAAAATAATACCTACCATTCCCAATGAATTATATTATTTGAATTCAAAACTAATGTACCTTAAAGGTATATTTTTTCTAATCTAACAGGAAGAAGAGGGCACTATTTCTTATCATGGCATAGTCTATGTCAACATGGCACCACTGCTTTATCCTGGAGGTAAGTTTTTTTTTTCATTTTTCTTTTTTGAAATGAACAAGGTTTTTTTCTAGTCAGCAGTAAAGAATTGCTGAATTTATTGGCTGTTATTTCTTTCTTTGAGTGGAAATGTCTAACGGATTAATCATTTGAAACATTGCATAATAATGCAGTGTGTTTGCAGGGTTGCTTATGTTATATTATTAAAATCCAGTCATATGATTTACTTTGTTGCTTACCAAAGTAAAACGCCAGATAAACCCCAAACTGCAGTGAATATTAGTTAAAAAACTTTAAATTGATAACCATACACGTTGTTACAGTTGATCTGTCACTGCTTTTAAGAAATGGGGTGGCAAAAATGTTTTATTTCTTGTGCTTCTGCTTGCAGTTCAGAATAAAGAAAGTACCTATCTATTTGTCTTTCTATCTATAGGAATTCCCCTTTGTAGAGACAGCAAGGGTGGCTGACTTGCAATTTTTCTAATTTTCCCTGTCAATTTTCAAGCTTCATCCAAATAAGTCAAACTGTGTGTGCATGTAGGACTATAATTCTGGCAGATAACAGATGATTGTCTCTTTTTATTTGTAAGACTGCTTGATATGTTATGTCTCTGTTGAAATAGTACAAGATACAGACCCTATTAACCTATCTCCTATGACCCTTTTGATCCTATCCAGGGAACTTAGATACATGTCACTTCAAATCATGTCTTGAAACTTAAAGATTTGTATGGTGGCTCAGAAATAAACAATGAACCATAGTTGCACTGTGCAAATGAATGATATACTGTGCTAATGAGTTAAATATGTCATCCATTATTTTATTTTTCTAATTCAAGTCCTTTTGCGCAGTTCAAGGAGAATGTCACTTTCCGTGGCCTAAAAATGAGTAAAATCATAAGTTTCTAGTCATGTGCAGTCATTTTATGTACATTTTGACCACTTAAGGGGTTAATGAGAGAAGTGGGGGCCATCAACCAGATATTGACGTCAGGAGTGATAGTGTCAATTATAGTGTGCTAAACAGCAGTGACGTCTGCTGTAATAAACACCATTACAATGGGCGAAGACCTACACTTGCACCAATGACATCAATACCCAAGTGCGTAGTGATAAATAATTTTTTATTATTATTGAAACTCACATTGGCTACAATTCTGCCATGAGCAAAACCTTGTCAACAACACACTTATAACAAATATTTGTTGTGTAAATGGTGTGGATTGAATAGTATACTGTGTTTAACACCATAATGACTGTTTTTTTAGTGTTTTATATATATATATATATATATATATATATATATATATATATATATATATATATATGAGTTTCCGGAATAAAAGGTTCATTTTTTTGGCAAAACACTTAAGCTTCCCTCATCTCCAGATTTTCCAAGTACAGGTGTCAATTGAAAATTGATGAACAATTTAGATATTGAATGGACATAGTGACAGATTCCTATTGCTTTTCATTCACACTAATACCCATGGCATTAATAAAGCTGTTTCTGTAAATGAAATAAGCATTGTCACTTTTCATTTGCAGTTGACAGGTAGTTGATATAATATCACTTCAAAATGTTGTTAATGACTTCTCATGGAATGCTGATGTTTTTTAATTTTCTTTTTAATGCACAGAAGATTCATGGAACACACTTCTGTCTAAAGTAACTGATCCATGGCCATAAACCATATTTTTATCATGATCACATAAACTTTATGCCAAAGGCTGATGTTTTTACTATCTTGGTGATTCCACAATACACACCATTTTTAAGTCTCTGTGCATTAAAATGATTTCTGTTATTTTCATTCAGTGAAGCGAATCCGAGGTGCATATAAAGTATATGCATACAGTGACAATGAAATGGCAGAAAAGGTAAACTGATGTTTAAATATATGTTAACATATTAAATAATAGCAAATGAAGAATAAATCAATTGAAGAGCAAAAAATTTACGAAAAAGTTTGCTGTCCTTCTGTGCATGGCAAAGTGTGAGATTTTGGATAAGTCGATCACTCAACAGGGTATTTTGATTTTTTTAAGAAATGAAAGTAGTGGTATGAATTAACTGACATTAGACAATTGATGTCCTTTCAGACAAAACGCAGAGGAGGTCTGGCAGAAGAAGCAGCCAAGATTGCAACTGGAATGTTAGCTAGAAATGCAACATCTCCTTTTCCCAAAAAGGGTGGAAAAGATGCTGATAAGAAAGAGCCAGTTAAAAAAGGGGTAAGATTTTTTAAAAATATTTTTTTGGTTGCTTTGGGCTTTTGGGGATTTCTTATTATAATTATTTATATGTTTTTGCAACATTTCTGTTCTCTGTAGTATGCCTCTTTGATGACTAAGAGGTGTCTGATTATTGTGACATTTGCAAAAAAAGAAAGTTACCTTCTTTTGCGTAAATGTTTTTCATGTTAAAAGCAAGATTTCATTTCACATAAGTTCTGTAGAGAAGTACACCCTCTCTATTGCAAATACCACTAAACAGTATATACAGTAGATGTATTGCACAAAAGACATTGAAAAAGTTTTGAATCACTTCTTGATTTATTTTGTTTTTCTGTAAATATCAAATCTAGAATGGCAACAGTTTTAGTTGTAATTCAGCATACAGATAGTTAAGTGCACCATCTTATTAGTGAATACATTTAGCAGCTTGTTTTGATTGTTTTGTGCACAGTCTTATTTTTCATTTTCGTTGCCATAATTTTAGAAAAAAGACAAGGAAGATGAGGTTTGTATAGCGAGATATCAGAGTCATACAGGAAAACTATCTGTGTCCACAGTTTCATGTTTTGGTATAACTGTATAACTTCAACTGAGACCTTAGACCAATGTTGAAAAGGTTAAGATTTTCTTTCTGTGATTTTCTTGGTAAAAAGAGCAGTCTCTGAGCTCAGCTAGCTTCGTGATGCTTCGTCTATTAGCTTTGTTACTTGATATTGATGCCACGGATGTTATTCCTGTATGGCTCTGAATAAATGAATTGTTCATTGCTTTGATAGATGTGCTGTGCTGGGAATAGGAATAATTACATACATTTTCTAATACCTATAAAATTACTTAAACTCATGAGCATGATTTATTTTTAAATTTTCTTTCATTTCTATAGGTATCTGATAATAACCTAAACAAAGTAATGAAATGAGTAGATTGTCATGATAAAAAAAATAGAAATTGCCCTGTAGATTTTTGACAATATCCATCTTTTGCAGTGATCACATCACAGAAAGTCTTGTCTTGATTCTTTTTTTTTTATTATAACTATATGTAAATGAAAATTTCAACAGAATGAAGGAAACTTTTGATATAATTAAACATCCATTCTTGTTGTACTATCTATAAAGTTTAATTTAAAAGTCAAAAGGACCCAGATATTGATAACTCAAAAAGTAGAAAAGTACTCAGAGAGTGCTAAAAAGCACACAGACTTGTGCCAAGGCAGCTCACTTCCCACTATTATAACTTGATTATATTTAATAGATCACTGCCAAATTCTAATCCATTCTGTTCATCCATTTCTGAATTATCCTGAAAATTTTATCAAAATCTGCCCTTATGAGTTAGGCTGTTAACTAACATGCCAACAAAGGCAAAAACATAACCTTCTTGGTAGAGGTTATAAAATGTGCAATGATATTTTTATTAGAAGTAAAAACAAACTACCAAGGGTGAAAGTTACCTTTCTGTTCATCCTAGAAGGTGATGCATTTCAGGCGATTGCCACTTTTTAAAGTGAAATTGATGCCATTTCATTGCCCTTTTCATCACTAGCTGGTGCCTGGAGCTGTCACACATTATCTATAATCAGAATAGCTTTCAGTTATTCTGTGCTGTCATGCTATATCTCTGCATGGACAAGAGGCGATAGACAAACTTGAATACTCCATTATTCTACTTAGAATTGCTTGTCTTAATTTAGTGCAAACATTAATTCTGGCAGTATTAATATTAGTTGCGTTTCCACATTTGATGAGGATATACATGTTGGAGTTTATGAGTTGTGTAGGTGCAAATGATGAATTTGATATTAAATGTCTTATTATGAAAAATTGATAATATACATGTGTATATGGCAGAATTACTATTTACGCTTCTTTTGGTCCAGTTTTTGTAGATGAATCTTGACAGGAGCTTCATTGCCAATAGACAGTACTTAATTAAAATAGAAGACATCCTCCTGCAGTAGAAATACTAAATTAAAAGATGACAATGGCCACCCTAGTTATATCAGAACTAACACAATTTCATAAATAAGCTTCTCTGGTTTGTTACTTCTATACTGTAAACCTGTTTGTAACATTAAAATATTTGTCACCAAATACTATATTTAGACCCTTGCCAGTTCTAAGCAGGGTTATTATCAACATATCTTACCATACATGTAGATAATATTTTATATTTTATGTATTTTTATTATTCTGTTTTTCTCAATTTTTTTATGGAATGTGACTTAAATTAGATAGAAATATACTTTGATTCATTGATATATCACACTGGCATTAAAGGCTAGTTGGTAAAATGTATTAAATTTTATATCAGTGTAAATAACTACATATTAACTTGGATGGCAGAAGTGGAGAGAGGGTGTGTGTCTTGATAGAGATCTTTTGAATGAGAAGTTTACTACACTTCACCAAAAGAAGTCCTTTTCACTTACCTTTTAATGTGGTCAAAGAAGCTGCCTTCAAAAATGCTCTCCCTTTCTCCTGGGAGTAACCCAGCAAAAGAGTGCTACTTTTCACCACCACCCATTTTCAAAGAAAATCCAGACAGAAGCATGTTTCCCACCCCACTCCTCTGCTTCTATTCGAGCATAAAGAAATTGTAATAAAAAAGAGATTGTTTATGAGGAATCCTTATTTTAAAAGAACTTCAACAAGATGTGTTGTTTTTCAAAACATCCCTACTCCCCATCCCCTCTCTTCCCCCCCCCCCCTCCAAAAAGAAACACAGAAAAAACTTCATGTTGTCCAAATCTATAAGAAATAAATTCAGACAACATATGTCAATTAATACACCCTTCTCCACCTCTCCATTCTTGATTAAAGTTGCATAAAGGACCAACTTGTGTCTGTATTGTGAATTCTGATGCAACCATCTGACTTTGTTTTGCACTGGGATATCACAGGTGATTATTGCCTATTGGATTCACGTCACAATGTTATTGGTTGCTGTTTTCTAACCTGTTGCACAGTTTTGTCATTTTATCCCAAACAGCATATACGGTTTATGATGAGAACAATGGTTGTTACTGACAAATACATATGTCACTGCTTCACTACAGATATTTTAGCTATCTGTTATTTTCTGAAGCATGGGCCTGTTGCTCCATAATTTTAAATTGATAAATAAACAGATTTGAAGTTGTTAGCCCCAATTATCTCTCTGGTTTGAAAATGAAAGACAGGAATTTTTTTAAAAATTCAAATCTTTCTGTTGATAAAATACTGATGGCAAAAATTGTTTAATCCAAGCTGTTGATGTTTTATTAATTTTAAAGAAATAAAAGACAGTTTGTACTTTTTTTGGTTGGTTATCTTAAGGTTCAAATCAAATGTCAACAGGCAAAAAAGCATAAACCTTGCAAGTTGGCAATTTTGAATACTTTTATTTCTAGTGCGTGTTGTAAATGACGATTTACAAATGATTTTATCTTCAGAAATTCTGTAAGGATGAAAGGTTTTTTATTTCAATTTCCCTAGGGTGTAGCATCAGTGTAATTTCCATGTTTAATCATCAGGTTATCTTCAATTGAAATGCATTTGGTGTGAAACCACATGGCATATTCTGCACATTGTCTTTTTTTGTCTAAATTTGCATTGACAGTAAACAGATGGCCGAGAGCTGCCTGTTCTATTACCAGGATCTTTAGAGTCAATTCTTTTCATGTTTTCAATTTTTATTTTATATATTTCTGGAAATGAATGATTTTTTTTTTTTTTTTTTTTTGAATATTGAAAAAATATCTCATGAATCTCTAAAATATTTTTTTAAAAAAGTAGTTCAGATGGAGCTTGTAATACGAAAGCACAGTCCTTTTTCATTTCAACATATATCGTTTACATATATTAAAACTAAAAATGAAACTGATAACAATCACATCTCATACCATTTATTTCTTACACTTTTTTCTGTCTCCTACACTTTAAGGCGTCTGCCATGCTGAAGGCTGCGGACTCTACATCCCAGTTGGATGGAGAGGGGCCAGTCAATGTGGAGGGGCAGCAGTATGTTGACAGCAAGTCCTATGTAACATTGGAGATTGTGTTACACAGGGCTCTGGTGAGGAGGAGACAGCCCGAGGAGCTGGCCAAAAGGTAAAAACTGATGAGGTTATCCCAAATGCCTCTGTCAGATGAGAAATGGACAACCCACAGTTACCTGTCTATACCACACTGTTTTTGTAATAAAAATTGGAGCAAGCCTAATAGATAGTAATTTGCGGTATTAAAAGTGGCGATTTATGAAAGTTATAAAGAATATATACATGTACATAGGCTGTATGTTTGGGTAGAAAAGTAATACTCTGATGATTTAAGTTCTATGCCATTTCTCAAGTTGAGTTAACTAAGGAGGTAAAAAAGTCTACTTTTGCAGAAAAGGACCCCCTTTTGAAAATATAGATGGCTCCCATCCTAAAGTCATTTATCTTTCCATCTTTTAAAGGATCAAAATGAAGATTTTTTCTCCTGTTACAGTTCATTTACTCTTATAGCTTTTCTGAAAATTTCAAATTTTATGAAAATTAAAATATTTATAACGATTTAAACAATCTATTTTCTCCCAGGGTAGCAGAATATATTCCACCAAGGCCATTGTTTCCCAAGAGAACCAATGGCGCACAGCGGGTGAGATTCTTATGCTTTACCAGACACTATTTTTTTTCTCTATGAAAATAAATGACTTGAATATTAATGGGCTCAGTTTTTAATTGGTTATCTCAATTCAAATGCGACGTGGTATGTAAGTTGTCTTGCATCGTGCCCTGATTAGAATAAATATATGTGATACAAAGCCATGATTGTCTTACAAATATACTTGGTTAGTCTTACTGGAGAGATATCTAGTGATTGTTATATTGATATTGATGGAAATCTTTTTTTTTATTTCTCTCATTTAGGCTGTTGAAGATTTCCACAATCAAATAGCAAGTGTGTTCAGCATGGCCCTTGATGAGTTCAGGTAATTGTTCTTGACAAAGCGATTCAATATTTTTAGCCAGATAATGGCTTTTTTTTTTTCAAGGTCTTGCAGACAACGACATGCATCAATCTTTCCTTTCTATCTAAAAGTCCACCCTCTGTGCAGGGTATGACTGCCATGGTGAAATGTGTGAATAATGTAATGAAAAAAATTGTGAGTGATATTATGAAAAAATGCAGATATTTATTAATAAGCTTGTGTGCTGTCCTGTTGTAGTAGTCTAAGCCTGCAGATGTAAAAACAATTTTGCACTCAATAGTTTATGATGATGTTGATGATGGTTATTGTTGTTGTTGTTGTTGCTTAATACAAAGTCTTTTCTTGGTTTATTCATATTAAAAGAATCAATCTACTAAATCATTTATAGGCTTATGATTTAAGAAACCAATTAAAATGATAAGAAAATGTGTTTTTGTTACTCAGGGAGAAGTTTGCTGATGAACTGGGGGACACCTCTGTGACAGCTTCATTAGAGGACATGGAGAAACGGTATGTTAGGAGGGACATATGTAAACCTTTATTAAGCTCATGTCTGAAGCTCTCTTTAATAGAAATTGGGTCAAAAATGCAAAAAATGTTTGTATATGAGTGTCATTTTCTTTGCCTGTACATTGGAGATAAAGGCTTTTTACCAATGAATGCTGTAAGGAGAAGTCATTAACAAACAAAAACTGTGAAGAAGAATCCAGATTTAATAGTTCTGAAGAATAGAATCCGTAATTCACCCCTGTTAAACTGAAAAAGGTAAAATCGACCATCTCTTGATATGTTTGAATGTGCAAGGGTCACTGCTCATGTTCTGTTGCATTTCGTCAAATTTCAGGAGGCAGAAACTCATCTTTGACCTGAACTCCAGTGGGAAATATTTTGCCTTCAAAGAACAACTGAAGCATGCAGTTGTGAAAATTGTTAGGGAGAAGTATCTGAAAACAACAAGTTTTGCAACTGATGAAGAACTGCAGGTAATTGCAGACTTGGGTGTAATTTCTGTAGAATGTTTGGGCAAATAGTGATATCTTTGCTGTACTGGGTATGAATACATTGTAGGCCGTTCTTATTTGTCATCGCCTCCAAAATCCACATCTTTGGTCTTATTTTTTGTATTTAAAAAAAGAAGGCTTATTTGTCTCCTTAAAACTAACATTTAGAATACTGGGCTTTTTTCTTTTTCTTTTTTTGCCTTTTGTTTTTGTGAACAATTTAAAGATCATGCATCACCTGCAGTACCTAATGAAAAAATGGAATTTTGATTAATTTTGATTTTCCTGATGGATTGTATCATGTTGCTATTACCCAGGCTTTCCTGAGTGAGCTGTATGTGTACCTAATGGACCAGATGCACATTGGGCTGAGCAAGGTTTTATCTCTGGAGGATAAGACACCTGTTCCAGAACCTCTGGCAACAGATGCACAGCTCAAACATTTTGCCCGTGAAGCAGAGGTCAATGAAAACTTTGAATTGGCTGCTAAATATTACCAAGAGGTGAGTTGAAACTTTAAAGTAAAGCCAAACAAAATTGATGAAGTTAGTAGACTGGTGGGACAAATCCTGAATGTGGGGAAATTAGTTGTTTTCTTTCAAATTCAAATTGAATAATATTAATAAATAAATAATTATAAATAAATAAGAACTTTGGCATTGGTTTCGTAAGTGGGAGAAATTGAAAATTGACCCCAGGAAACACCGTAATACCTATGATCTTATGGTCAAAAATTACCCACACTGTGGATGTGGCATTTCCTACCACACGAAAAAAAAAGTACAGTCTATTTTTTAAGAGGTAGGAGCAACTGTTATTTGATGTTTTGTTTTGTGGCTTTAGGGACGCCTTTTCACCGCACCCTTTTCCTCCCTGTTAGAATTACCATCATGATTTATATAAAGGGCAAAGTAGTTTGGTATTTTAAATCTGATCACTTTGGAGAATTGGTATATAGTTTCGCTTACCAATAGTGTTTCAAGGTTTCAGGTGTCTGTCATCTCATCAACCCAGGCCTCTTCAAACAACTCTAGTGGGTGCAGGCCTTTAGGCTGTGAGGGGTTTGGTGTTATTTTACTTCATTTCCCATTTAAGTACAAAATTTCATCATTTAGGTAATGACACCAGATACAAAGTCACAGACTGTTATCCCAGATAATGTAAAATTACATGTATCAGACCTTTTTTTTCTATTGCGGGAAATGAGAAATTATGGTTGACCAACCTTCTGCAAGACAGTCATGAAACATGTACATTCAATTTGAAACAATTTGAAACCATCATTTTTGCCACTTTGATGTAAACAGTTATAAGTATGGTATTAATGGCCTTAATTTCTAAACTTGATTATAGTTACTGTAATTATAGTTACTGTATACATATACATTACTGCTGTAACCACACAAATTTTTGCATTTTTTTTGTATTAGTATATAGCACTTTATTAAAAGCCCTTGATTGTTCAAAAATTACTTCTTTTCCAATAATGAAAATAATAATAATTTGTCTGTCAAGTACAATTGTACCTAATGTCTATTATTTTGATGATTGGACAACACAAACACGCTTTTAGTATACTTAATTGGAATCAAAGTGTCCATTTACATTGTTTGTGGAGATTAGAATTGCATTTGCCTGGGCATGAAATGTCTGCATGGACTCTTCTTATCTGTATGCAGTGCATTGTGACTGGGATTTTAACATGTTAAGTTTAACATAGGGAAAGTAGAATCCAAAACAGAAAAAAAATTACTTGCAGCATATTTCATTCAAAGAATTTGCTGTGACTGTGAGAATTTATTAAACCTGAGGGAAAAATTTTAAGTCATTTTGACATATTTTGATATTTTCCTTCATACTTTGAAAGCCTTCACATCTCTAAGGAAATTTATATAATTGTCCCTATTTATCTGATGATAGATGAACATAAGAAAAGTGTACATGAAATCCTTAATTCTCTTAATCCTTAATCCTATCAAGATTTTGTGTTAAAAAAACAGCAAATGTGCTTAATAAAAAAATGAAATTAAAAAAAAGAAAAAAAAGCATGCAGGCTGTTTGTAGTAGTCTAGTAAGAACAAATTCTGTAAATGATGCAAATTTAATGTTTTTCCAGAGAATTGCAAGAAACAAGGCTGACCCAGAAGCCTGGTTTGACTACGGCACATTCTGTCTTTATATATCTGATATCCCCAAAGCAGAGGAATGCTTCAAGGAATGCATTGCCATCAACCAGAGACATTTCAATGGGTGAGCATGGTGGACTTGTACTGCATACAGTTGACCTAATTGTAAAAACATTGTAAAAAACCTAAATTTTATGTAAATACCAACCACATGATTTTGATAGCAGATCAACAAAGAGTTACATCTTGTATCATATCAATACAAATAGCATTTTGTTTCAAAAGTGATGATATGAAACTTAGGAAGATTTGCACACCTTTTTCTGTTAAGTAAAGCACCAAGAATGCCCATATAAAAATCAATACCACAAATTACATTCTACATCTGTGCTTGAATAAGGCATTTTCAGCTTTAGTTCAGTTCAACTTTTTACAATAGTTCCCTGATAATTGAATAACCATCCACTCACGTATTGTATCCCTTATTTTCATCATACTTTTTTTTTCCAAAATTTTCAGCCTTATCTTGTATGGTGTAGTGTGCGCAATGGAAGAAAGAAATGATGCAGCAGAGACCTTCTTTGAGACAGCCACAAGAATTGATCCACACAGCACTTTAGCTTGGACCATGTTAGGTAGGGGAATAGGTTAATGCCATATGCTTGGCAGACAGTGTGTTAGTTGAGACTTATTAGCCCCTTTGAAAGGATGTGTTTATTATTATAATTATTATTATTTCTGATTGTATGTTAAATTGTGCATCTCTGTATAATAATAAAAAAATTGTACATAAAAAGATAATCAGTTTGACATATGGAATCATAGTGGATTGAAGGTTGAGTTCTTACAGTTAAACAGTCACACCCAATACAACATTGCATACTTAACTCTCTTAAAAATAATATATTGCAGGATAAGTGTGGACCTTTTACAATAGCAGTGTAATATAAGTAAGATGTTTTTTACACTTACAGGCTTGTTTTATGATGGTATTGGCAATGACATTCAAGCTGAGATGGCTTTCCTTGAGGCACAGAAACAAAATGTTTACAATGCCAAGCAGGAACTGCTTGCATCCCAGCCACCTGTCAAGGAGAGAGAAGAGGCAGGAGATCACTTTGACACCTCTCCATCAAAAGGTGCTAAACATAATTTTGATTTATTATTGATGTATATGGTACAGACATGCTGATCGATACCTTTGGTCCTACCAATCAGGAAAGTTTTCTAGAACTGGTGGAAATCTGTAAAGTTGGCCAAGAGACCACCAACAATTTAGAGAGTTGCCATTTTGAATTTGTACTTTGTCTGGCAAAAGGCCTTTGTCCTGGCCTAATTTTTCATACATGTAACTGCATGTTTTTCCGAATGTCCATCTGCTTTTAAAGTTTTCAGCATGTCTGTTAGTTACTTGTTAGTAGGAGGGTGTGGATGGGTACAAAAGGTTTTGAAGAACAATAACTTTGCTTGTTTAGTATTCCTACAGTACTTTCCAATCTTTGCCCCCCCTCCCCTTCTCCTTATTAGGTAATGCTGTAATATTTTATCCTTATTAAGCATTTTTTTCTGGTTTACTGTATATCTTCTTGAAAAATATCAGTAAATGCTGTAAAGTATAAGATGGCCTTATCTTATGTGAAATTAGCATGTGTGTGAATAATTTAACTAAAATCTGATTGTTGAATAAATCTTAAATGTGGTGTAGTCTGCTGTGGGAGCTTTTTTTGAAGGTAGATATAATGCTAGTAATTCAATTCTTGTAGCATCATATTTTTTGCAAGTTTTATAATCCACTCAGTTTGCGTGCATTGAAGTCATCAAGCAGTATGGCCTTGAGATTCTGAATAACAAATTTGTGTAATTTGGCAGGTGTTTTATTATAATCTTGTTATTATCTTATTATTTTTTTAAGGAAATTAGGAACCATTTCACAATTTTCAATCATCATGTTCATTTATTGTTATTTTGAGGAAAGCAAATTGTTTCATGACACAAAACAATGTTAGAAATTGTTTCATACTCATTTTGATCAGGAAATCTAGCAAACATGCAAAGGTGAAAGAAAATTGACTTTACATTTTTGCACCAGTAGTTTGTGGCTTTTTATTCATGTGTTTATTCATATAATCACTAATGGATGCATCTCTAACCCGTATGTCATGAAATAATGTAATAAAAAAACAGACAGACAGATGGACAGATAAAATATGAAAGGTCAATTATACACATAATGAATGAAATATGTAACTTACTGTACTCAAAGGACCTCTGACCCAGAGCCAAACTTTTCCAGGAATAGTTAAGACTATTTTGGATTTTCTGCAACATATAGTTAAGGTTTAATTTAGAATTGCCCCATTTATATTTCAGAGACCACCAGGCCAGAGAGTCCAGGTAAAACTCTACCTGAAATCAAGCAGACGCCAGCCACTCCAGCTGCACCATCTACGTCCAAAACACAAGCACCTGCCAGCAGAAAAATGTCACTTGGAAAGAAGCCAGGTGGGACTTAAAGTTGAGGCAAAATGGAAAACCGAAAAAATTAAAAATCACCTGTTTAATTATTAAATATGTAGTTATCAGCAATATTTGTACAAGTATTATTTTATTATTTTATCCAGTTTTATTTCGGCTAATATTTTTTATCAGCCTTAAACTTAGTATGATGCATTTTATGGTTATCCATACTGCATAGTTTATTTGGTATTCTATAAAGTTGACTGTAAGTGTGTGACATTGAAGAAATAATGGCCTGTTTTTATCTCAACAATGTTGATTAAAGAGAATTGTCTTTATGGTTATACAATGTAAGAATATGGTTGCTGGAAACTTAAATGATCAAACCTCACACAAACACTATTTTACAAACAATTTATTTATTTATTTATTTATTTATTTATTTATTTATTTATTTATTTATTTATTTATTTATTTATTTATTTATTTATTTATTTACAAAAAAGACAAATGAAAGACAAGCTTTTGTTGGCTGGCTTACAACTTGGAATAAGAACTTGGAATAGCATAGTTATTCACATTTTGATGAAATACATGTAGTATCAAAACATTAATGTCTGATATACTTATATACTTGTATCAACTCTTCTAGTGGGGCCAGGATCCATGGGGAGCCGTACCAGCAGCAAGGACAATGTGAATTCCAATCACCCTGGCAGTCGACCCAGTAGTCGCCATGCTCGTAGTCCAGTCCCCACCCCCCTTCAGACAGAGGAGGAGCCCCCGCGAATACCGACCCCAGTCCCCAAGAGCAGTATTTACATGAATGCTGTGGAGTGGTTGTTGGAGGCAAAGGCTGCTGTGGTGAGTGGCTGGATCCTGTATGTCACAGTAAATTAAATTGAGGTTATTGCAATAACTATACATTATGACACAGTACTGGTACAACACAATGGCTAGGATAGATCTGATAATTTAAATAGAACTTAGCACAAGATTATGTTGTCTTTATACCTAAATAGGGGGTTCAAATCCATGGCCTCTATACAGAGATTTTTTTCACTGTACCACCCAGACTTCTTGCTTATTTATTTATTTATTTATTTATTTATTTATTTATTTATTTATTTATTGTTTTTTGCTTTTTCATATTTATTTATTTATTTTCATTGTATATGATAAAAGTACCATTCATAAAAATATCTGACATTAAGAACCAGTCAATTTTACCATAGGTTATAGCTTGGATTATTGGCAAATTTATCTGCAAGTTGAAACATTGTTTTAGTTTGTGAAGAGCCCTTTTGTTCATATATTGCTATATGTGCACTATTATCTCTCTCTCTTTGGTGTGAAATATGTCCAAATGAAATGTCTAACTTTAGTTCACTGAGAGAGGTCTCAGCCATAGATGATTGCTCCCCATCTTGAGGGGTTAGAAACTGAATAACAGATGGTTATCCTATAACTTCAGTTCACTGAGAGAGCCCTTGCTCATGAGTTGCTGTCCCCGTCAGGAGGTCCCAGTGCTGACTACCACATCACCCTGGCCAGGCTGCACATACACAAGAAGGAGTTTCCAGGGGCAAGACTGGCCCTAAATGAAGCTTTACAAATAGACCATGAGGTGAGAAAGGGTTGAAATAATTGAGAGATTGAGTGAGTGAATTAGCGAGCAAGTGAGTTCGAGTGTGAATTAAGCATACAAATATTATTAGATTGCGTAGATTATTATTATTTATGTAATTACTTTGTTATAAGACTTCTATATGGTATGTTACGGGGGGGGGGGGGTGCAACACCTGGATCATCTGATTCTCATGGCATTGTTACAGGAACACACAATAATAAATGTTTAAAATAAGTGCTACCTTTGCTGTCTGTTTTTCTTTGGTATCTGGCATGAGAATAATTTGGCATTTTCATAGCAATTATATTTTGCATCCCCCATACATACTGTTTGGAAGTATCAGGTGTCACAGGGCCTTATCTTGTTAGCTCGAGGGCATGCTTTTTTCTCTAGTAAATTGCCATAACCTGTCAGAATTAAACATGTGGAAAAAATGAATTATTATCTTATCTTGCCCTCCCTTTTGATTAGTTTTCAACTCGAGTGTGTTATGCAGCTGGACAAGTCTTTCTTTTCTGTCAGAGCTTTGTATTTGTGCTTTATATTTATGGAAAAAAAAGTAGAATTGGATCAAAAGTAATTTCTTTGTCTTCATGGAGATAGTGATTTATGTTGATATCAACAGACTGCTCACAGAACATGTTGGCAGATGCAGACTTTTATTTTCCTTGGCTAATTATTTTAATTGTCCAGTGATATGGCCACAAAGGACAGCAGCACTGTTGAAAGCTGACGGTGCTGCTTATAGAATGATTTACTTAGGAATTATTTCACTCCTCGTTCCATTTTGTATAGGTTGAATTGTACGAGTTTGTAAGAATGGAAAAAAGATATTAAGATTGAGTTTGATTTCACTTCAAAATGGATAGAAAACAGTATGAGAAGGTGACATAGGCACAATATATACTCAGCCTGACTATAAAACAATCTGAAAAACCATACTAAAGCAAAAATGTTTGATTGATTTAGTTAGTTAGTTTGCTTTGTAGTACATATTTATGTGATATTTTGATTTGTTACCTGTTTGATAGATAAACATCATAATCATTGTGACTTGTTGTCATGTTAAATAAAAGTAATTCTTTTGACTTTTTTCTAGAACCCTGATGCATGGGCATTCCTTGGTCACCTGAACTACCTGTCAGGCAACCTGCAGGAGGCTAAGGGCTGCTATGAGAGAACCCTCTCCTTCATTGGGGATCCCTCAGAGAGCCACTCCATATACCTAAGACTGGCTTCTATTTACCTGGAGGAGGGACAGGTGAGGGGGAGGGGAAATATAAAACTTGGAATTGATTTAAATAGAGCAAGAGTGAATGAATCAAGACTAAAAAATAAAAATAAAATAACATGATGAATAATGATTATAGGTGATAATTTTGAATGAAATATGAAAGAGACTGAAGGGAGCGATTTAACAATTTAAAAAAATTCAAATGAATCGTTATGTTGTAACTCTTTCATTTTACCTTAGTCAATTAGTCTACTTAGTCTTTAAGTTTGATAGTCAAAAAGTTTTAAGTATTTGCCAATTAATATATTTCAGTTCCTTGAAGCCAAGAAGACATTCCTGATGGCCTGCAAGAAGTCTGCCTCCTGTGTGTCTTGGCTGGGAGTGGGAATTGCTTGTTATAGGGTAGGGATTTATCATTTTTTGTCTTTTTTGTCTATGAGTAGAATATTCTCTCTTAAGGCTATCACGTCATGTTTTTTTTAAAGGTTATGAGACTTTTCAGAAAGTGGCTTTGTTAACTATTGTACATAGAGCTCTTATTTAAACCAGGTGAAGTCCAAATGGATGTAGAAAAAAGTCTTTTCAAAAGTTTTAAAAGGAAAAAGTTTGAGACATAGGGATGGAAAAAAAAATGCTAAAACAATCAATTTGTAAAAATTCCAACATGTGCAGGTAATTGAAAAGAATACCAAGTCAACTGTTGGAGTGCAAATATGTTGTCTGCTTTATGTATGATTTAAATGTTGCTCTCATCTTTTTAAACCTATTTACTTTTTCTTCATATTTTCAAAGTATTTGTTTATTTATTTCTACAGCTAGGTGAATTGTCAGAAAGTGAAGATGCGTTATCAGAAGCTAATATCTTGAATAACACAGACCCTGAGGTTTGGGCATACTTGTCTTTAGTCTGTCTGAAAACAGAGCGTCAGTTGGAGGCGGAACAGGCATACAAATATGCTTTGAAGGTGAGATAAATGGTTTATTGCCCTGTAAACATAATATTGGCTATCAGCATTGTTATATAGTTTGATAAATGGTTGGGCTGTTTTCATAAATTATATGAGAAAATTAAAATTTAAGCATGCTTTTGGTCAATTGCATTTTTCTTTTTTTCATGTTTGCACTTTGATATGTTTCTTATATGTATTTGTATTGTCTAGTATGAAACTGTCTAAAAGTCAGTATAACTAGGGCAGCATCTCTTTACACTCCTGAGCAGACATACATATATAGTAGAAAATAGGCATGACAAACAGACAAATTTACATTTTCTACAGTGTACCAGAAAAAATTAATAATATATCTATTGTACACAACAGATATGCCATGGTTTCACCATAAAACATTACTTAAATTATTGTGATTGCAATTTGCCTTTATGGCTGAATATTCAGTCTTTCAAAGTGTTGATAAAGATAAAAAAGACAAAGAAAGGTTGTTATGGCACTTAATTTTCATTTATATGATAACTTGCTGGGCTATAAAGTAATATATAATTCTAACCACATATGCAGTGTCTTTCTTAAGTACTTAAATCTTTTTCACCCATCAATTATATAGTTGTCATGACATTACTGTAAAAGGACATTCCAAAAATGCAGTAACATGGTCACTATGACTTAAATAGTTAAAGTTAAGGTTGTATCCAAAGTTTTAATCTAGCATGTCTGTCATAAATTATGCCACGGAAATGGGATTCTCACTGGTTGTTAAGTATTTTTGTTGCTGCGGGCATTTTGTGTCTTGTGATCTTTGTACCTTTCAAGATTCACATATATACATACAACAATAAAAAGAACTGGCAGTGCCATATCTCACATAATTTCATTGAAATTGGGATTTAACTTTATGGATGGATACAAAGGGTGCTATGCATGAAAAAACTAGAAAAGTTCTCAGAGAGCACAGGCCTCTGCCAAAGCATTCTCATTATTTAATTAATCAATGGATGACCACCAAAAATATATTTATTCTTAGATAGCCCATTTCTGACCTAGCCTGAAATTTTATCAAACTTTGTTTATAACTTTTTGAGTTAGGCTGTTAACTAACAAACCAACAAACTAAGGCAAAAACATAAACACTTTGGTGGAGGTGAAATGCAATAAATTTCACTCCATTGTACTCCATAGACTACTTAAAGTAAATGCTAAGTAAGTCTGCTAGATGAAAGAAAGAGGAAAGTTACTAAAAGGATATTTCAAGCTAAAAGCTCAAATTGCTTGCACGACTTTTTCCAGAGATCAGTTAAAAATAACACAGCAATTTTACACACACACACACACACACACACACAAACATTTATCACCAAAAGTATTCAGAAATTGATTGTTACTTGTAATTTATAGCACCTTTTGCTTTTAGGTGATATTTCACATCTCAGTATGAACAAAATTTGTCAGTGTGATTCTACTGAAATGCATGTGAAATATTGTCGTTTCAGTTGCATCTGCAAGATGAAGACTTGCTGAATGAACTTCACCAGGTACAACAAGAAGTTGGGTTTGGAAACCCAGAATTATAAGCGATTTATCAAAAGACTGTGTATATGGACATCTTACTATTTTTTCAAAGTATTTGATGCACCTCATGTAATCCGTCCTTATATGAAAATCATTTTAGAAGAACTGATGTCATTAAAACTACAACTTACTTCGAAGCCGTCCATGTTTAAAGTTTCATACTGAAGGGGTTCCATTATGATACAGGCATCAATTTGATGTTGTTGATAGTTGTGAAATCAATTTTATTGAACAATATGAAGACAAACAACCATTCTGTGATACTTTTATATATTTGTCAAGCCTTGTTTGAATCATTTATTACATGTTTTGTTAGTACAAAAAAAAGTTATATAAAACATTTAAATACTACTTTCAGTTTTCTAACCTGTTGACAATTTGGAGTTGGAATTTGTTGTATTGTACATGTTAGCATGTATTTGTAAATATATAGGAATAAAATATGATTGTCTATTTGGTATGTTTTTAAAATGTTGTTATTAGGGTGCATGTTTAACAGTGTTATGAAAATGAAAAAGCTAATAAAATGGTTAAGATCAATAATGACACTTACAACATGATATATATTATCTATCAGTATGTATCTAAAAGCAAAATTTCTAAGGTCTAAAATTAACGTCAAAATTTACAAAACAATCTATGCGTGCAGGTACAACTCAATTTCTACTGTGACAACAATGACTTTATCCTTTTTCTACCTACAAAAATTACAAAATTTCCTAAGATACTTATAAAATGCTGAATCATAAATGCCTTTCACAGTGGGAGATGATCTTGTACCCTTGGATCTACTTCTCCTTGTAAAGGTTGATCTTAATTCTTTATGTCACCTATGTATTATGTAGATCTAAAGTAAAATGAATATTTGAAAAATTACATTACACAGAAATTCACTAATTTACAAAATAAAGTTACCTATATGTCTTGGGAACAAGCAAATAATTGATTTGTATATTTCTGCAACCGAAGAAAAATTTATACCACTGACTGAACAAAAATGGCTACAGAGTTTGTGTCACATTTTCAAGTCACTGCCAAATGAAAACTTGCCTGTCTTATGCTTCCTAATCTGTAACTCTCTTTGCTTTATCAACCCAACCAAAAAGATGTCCGTCTCAGCTCTCAAGTTCTCAAGTCACACAGCAGAGAAGAAGTCCCCTTTTGTTTACTTTCCAGTGCCTCCCCCAGCTTGTAGGCCTCCAGTGTAACATCTACAACTGGGGGCATTGCTACAATCCTGCAGCCGTTGCATGTATGTGTAATTATCAGCTGGGTTCATCTGCTCCATATTTTCTGGCTGTGAAAACTGGTCCTGGGAACTGATGTGACATTTGCTGTAAATCTCGTTTCTGCCAATATTAACGTCCACAGAGCGGCACGCTGGGTCATAGCAGAGACCTCCCTCTCGACGACCACATTCAGATTCCCTGCACACTCTTTCGCAGTCTGCGATGGTGAAGTTTGCACTGATGTGGAAGGCTTGTATTCTGTAGTCGTTGTAGTCTCTGAGTTTGACATGTCTTGTATAGATGAATGAGTCCGTCCATGGGCAGTCAGGTATAACTGGAATTCATGTTTGGGCACATATTATAATATTGCTTTTTGTCTTTGCATAACGTATTAATATAGTGCAATACTGGTGCATTGAGAAGGCAGAGAGGAAAAAAACAAACAAAAAGCATTTTGGATCTCCTCCACAAATCATCCACCTGTGTTGTAAGATACCAATATTTGGGATGCCTAATTGCCCTTCTTTTTACAGCCTTGTTGGGAACAGATATTATTACATAGAACACATTTGGTTTTCAAAGTTTCTTAAATGTTTTCATTTTGAATGGGAAACTTTTTAAATTTAAAATTACTGTGACTTACCATTTACAGTGCAAAATCTCCCATCTCCAGTGAAACCATTCTTGCACGTGCACACATAGGAGCCCTTTGTGTTCTCGCATGTTGCATCAAGACTACAGTCATGCAGGCCTGTAGAGCACTCGTTCAGGTCCAGACACATGCGTCCATCGCCAAAATATCCGGGTTTACATGCGCAGGTGTAACTCCCATCAGTGTTGACACAATTTGCATTTCTATCGCACTGTGACTCACCACTGGTACACTCATTTTTATCTGGAAGAACAAATATAGAGAAATTTACTTGTAAAATAATACTCTATTCCTCAACTCAAATTAATGTTTCAGTGTGCTATGTATTACTAACTCCTCTGTCCTCTGTCATCAGATGTGAAGAAACTAGAAAGCCAAAATTGAAACCAATGGCAGAGACTCTCCTCTGTTTCAAAGAATAGGTATTTTCAGTACCATAAGGATATACTGCATGGATTTTACTGGGAGCATGTACAAATACCCTGAAACTCAGGAAGACATTGTCCTACCTTGACAATTTTTTCCATCCCCTGTGTATCCAGGGCGGCAGATACAGCCATATGAGCCCAGGGTGTCCACGCAGTCAGCCTGGCTGTGGCACTGGGCAGTGCCTGTAGCACACTCGTTGATGTCTGGAATGAATAAATGAATTTAAATGAATAAATGAACAATTTTTCAACCTTGCACAGTTGTGCAGACAAAGAAATAAATAAAATGATGACAAGATGAAAAATGGATAGCTGAATACACAATTATGTTTTCAAAAGGAAAAGAAAAAGAAAAATATTTAAAAATAAAACAATAAAAAAAAAATTACAAAAAGAGGTTACGCTAAAGAAATGACTTGTGACAGTGTCATGAATAAGATTGGCATCACTCTTGACCAGCACTTTTAAAATAAAAAACCCAAAACCACAAGATTTAATGTTATGGCACAGTGTACCCTTTTCCATTTTGTTTGGTTTTTAAAATAGCATTTTGTATCATCTTTTACAGCAATACTTCAACAGTACCTGATATTATCATTCAGTATAGTAGTCGGTAAATTCCCATTTAATTCTATACCTTGATTGCAATTATTTCCTGTCCAGCCAGGTTCACATGTACAAAAGTATCCTCCCTGGGTTTCTGTACAAGTTCCATGAGTGCAGGGATTGGGGTTGCATGGGTCTGAGGATGTCTCTAAAAAAATGTTAACATTCCCAATAGAAGTAATGTTGTTATAATTTAAAAATGCATCAGTTCCAACCGAACATGTACAAATATCATTTCTTATCTTTATCTTAATCAGATAAAAAAAATTCTGAGCATTAATAAAATATTGTCAGTATCCTATGCGATTAATACATACATTATTAATACATAATAATTATTTATAAGCAGTTTAGACTAGCCCAGGGGAAATTGTTGAAATCTAACAAAGAACTTATGATTTTTTTTCTCTATAGTTTTGGATGGAGTATACCTTGTTGATTAAGGGGAAAATGTTGAAATTCCCAGTAAAAAGGACCATTTTGCTTTATGAAGACTTTTGCCATTAAGAATAATAGGTCTACAATAATACTAATAAAAAGTGTATTTATGTTTTTGGTTAGCTAAATCACGTTCTTGTATGTTTTATTGTATGTTTTATTGTATGTTTTCAAAACATCTAAGAAACACTTACGTTGACAATTAAATCCATCCCCAACATAACCAGATCTACACGTACAGGAGTAGGAGCCCTGGGTGTTGCTGCACAATGCGTTGCTATGGCAATCATGACCGCCCGTGCTACACTCATTCACGTCTGCAAATACATTTACTAGCATATCAAATTTCAATGATTTTGTGAAAAAAGGAAAAGAAGGCAAAATAAGTGAGCACTTGAATGCATAGAAAAAAATATCCTGGATGAAATAAAATAATATTTTTGTTTCGTTTGTGTTGATGGAGCAAAGTGGCAGTTTATCCTTGAAAGGTAGGCCTATACCAGGGGCGGATCCAGGATTATTTGAAGGGGGGGTCTGCGCATGCGAAGCCGACCCCCCCCCCCAAAAAAAAAAATTCTTTGCCCCCCCCCCCCCCCTCTAAATCCGCCACTGTATACTAATATTTCCCATAATAGACCTGTATTTAGTCTGTGGTTGAGCACGCGCAGGCCCTTACCGCTGCAAAAGTTGAAACCGTCTCCTGTAAAACCACTGGGGCATGCGCAGGTGTAGCTGCCAGGGAGGTTACTACATATTGCGCCAGAGGCACACCTATTGCCGTCTTCACACTCGTTAATGTCTGAAGTTTGGGAAAAAATAGATAACTAAGCAAATTGAACAATACCATTCTGCAACGTCAAAACAGAATTCCATCAAAATCAGAATTAGGCTATCAAAGCTGTCATATTTTCAGCATATTGATTTCTTATTACTTAATGAATAAGTTATACATAAACAATATTTGAAATAATTGCAATATGGGCTAAACTTATCTCTTTTTAAATAGAATTGTTATATAAAATTCCAACGAATGACCTGGTTGCAATTCTTCAGTATTCTTCAGTATTCCTTACTTTTTAAAAGATCTTTTAAGTTGTATTAGAAAACTTACCCGTGCACTGGAAACCGTTGCCTTGGAATCCTGCATTACATAGACAGAAATAAAAGCCGGGTTGGTTAATACATCTGGCGTTGACATGACAACTGTGCTTGCCAGTGCGACATTCGTCAACATCTGAAATCAAATTAATTAAACAAAATATTCATCCAGAAAGTTCCTTGAAGGTTCTGCAGATATAAATACCGATTCGAACAGGCCTAGGAATGATAAGATTTTTGATTTTGTTAACTGTAATGTAGTAATTGAAATAATTATGACGATTATCTCAAGTCTAAAACTAGCAGGATATGATGTTTGATAAAGTGAGATGGAACCAACATTTAATTAAGCAGAATTGTTGAAAATGGTTAGAACATTAAAATAAAATAAAATAAATGATGATATAATGTCTATGTTATCGTTGAGTGGGGTGGGGTGGGGGGGCTTTAAACAAGGCCCATGATTTAGATAGATCTGCATTCATTTTCAAAAACCTTACCTCTAATTTTGTTTTGTTTATCTATTTAATTATTTATTTTCAATCAATAATTCCCATTGTATCTCTATTACGAGTGTTTATAGAATCTATGAACATGGCTCAAGTTGTGTTTGTGAAGTACACCTTAGTCATAAAACTCTGCTAAGCGTTTAGCGCTATCGAAGAAAAAAATCGACTACATAATGTCATTACATCTAACCGCAATAGCACAATAACAATAGTCTTTACCTCTATCACATCGTTCGCCAGTGTAACCCACATTACAAAGACAACGGAAAGAGCCAGTGGACGCTGCCTCCAGACACCGGCCGTTCTTACAATAGTCAGGGGGACAACTTGTCGCCGTCGTGGGCACAGCAGTCGACAAAGGGGTGGTGCTGGTGAGGGTTGGTCGAGTCGCGGCCGTGGTTACTGCAAAGAAGAAACATACTCAACTTTGCGGGAACACTACGTTATTAGACATGACAGATGTTATCTTTCCTATCTTTTTTTTTCCTGGTGATTAATAGTAAACGATGGTAGTGTGTGTGGGAATACTACATTCTTCTGTTTAAAATATGTCACTTTGGTGATTTTTAAGCGTGAAAAAGAAGCGTTAATAAGCGACACCCTGGTTATTGACTAAACAAGAAGTCAAAAGATATTTAAATATATGCCACATTAAAAATCACTTCAAAGTCGCATTTCATTATCTGTGCTGCTTTGTTTAAGATATTTAACACACTATCATAACTTTTTTTGGCATTCAAAAGAGCTCATGTTAAACTTTTACTGACGCGTTAGTTTCGCGCCCAAGGCAAATACCGATAAACGAACCCTATCATTTAGGACAACGGTGAACAGTTAATTCCCAGGCGTTCTTGTTGAAATCATTATCTTGTCGATATACATTTTTAAATCATTTCTAGACAGTGATGTTTTTAAAGAAAATTTATTAAATCGTGAAATGTATTGGAAAAACAATATGTAATTAAATACGCATATCAAGAATTCATCTAGGATAAAATCGAATACCATGTTGTGAACTTCACATTCTTTAAAAGGAGGAGAACTGTTAACCTTTGACACAAAATGTACATCAGTTTAAGAATCTATTTTATATATTATTTCTCAGAATTTATCACANAAAAGCAATATGTAATTAAATACGCATATCAAGAATTCATCTAGGATAAAATCGAATACCATGTTGTGAACTTCACATTCTTTAAAAGGAGGAGAACTGTTAACCTTTGACACAAAATGTACATCAGTTTAAGAATCTATTTTATATATTATTTCTCAGAATTTATCACATATTCGTTTTTAACTTTGACACTATATGAACATCATTTCATGAATCTATTTTATATATTATTTCTCAAAATTTATCACATATTCTTTTCGATATGAAATTACGCAGGGTCCCAAGATCATACCAATGCGTGGATTGTACATAAAATGATAGAAAAAACACGCCAACTAACTAACTAACAAACAAACAAACAAATAAAAACGACCACCTTACCCGTGCCGCTTTTGATACAGTATTTCCTATCCACTGGTCCGAATACAGAGCATGGGTTGTGGTCCCCTTTAGAAGCCGTAGTGAAGGCACTGCTGACGGTGGTGCCGGGGGCGCACCACATCCATTGTACGATATCGTTGGGACAGCATTGCCAATACCCACACCTGTTGACGGTATCGGCAATGTACAGGCCCTCTACGCACTCGACGACTGAAATGTTGTGTGAACTTCTACAGAGACATGGCATTGCATTGAAAAATAACTTTTTCGATATACTGATAATGAGTTGTCTTGAGTATTTTAAATTGCTTTTTAGAAATGAATGAAAAAATTAAAAGACAGTGATTAAAAAAGTGAGCTAAAGTGAAACACTTACTTGGAGCGCTGTTCACTGACGGAGTTCCCATTTTCAAAGCAAAACCCAAGCTGTTTCCCATAAGCAGAAGTAACAGTCCAACGAAGCAAACGAAATGCATTTTATTAGTAGATTATGATGACGATTTTGATTTTAAGTCCTCCAGAATTTCGAACAGCGCGTTTGTTAAAATTTTGAACTTTTCTCTCTCCCGTAGGTCAGTGTCACTGTGCTTATTTGCTTTTGCGTTTGTCGCTATAAATTGTATTTGCGTCAACCACAATTTCCTCTTCTGTGACCAACTTCAAGCTCTCTGACTTATCCTTTAGGCTAAAATAGTACGCTTTATCTACTTTGTGATCAAGGAATGTCAAAATAATTTATGCCAGAAGTCCGGATGGGTAAGACATGGACGTGTGTGCCACACCCGTTTATTTCATCAGTATAACGTGGGTTTGGGACACGAAAAACGCCTTATCTTTATCTTCACGGCAGCTGCATTCGTTTTCTCACACCGTTATTATAAACTTTGTCATAACAGATTCCTCATTAGCCATTCTATTAAAATACGCAGACGTTTTAACGGAATAGCCTGCGGCAGGACTTGTTGGTTGACCATTCTTCAAAGCCAATAAAATATCAGAAAGATAGTGAATTTAAAGTCTCATTTTCTATAAAAAGCTGGTTTAATTGGGTAATGATTTAGTTAACTACATGATATCTTTCATATAAAGGATAAGACAGAATTACCGAGGGCCAGAGTTCTTGCATAATCTTCAAAGGTTATGTAATATTTCAACTAGAAAACACGCTATAGTTTTGAAAAAAAAATGACTGAAAATGGTTTAAACATAACGTTTTTATTTTCTCTTTACTGTGAAGCGAATGGAATATCTGAATAGAAATAAATAAATAAATAAATAAATAAATAAATAAATAAATAAATAAATAAAAATGTAGATTCTATGATACTCGTTTTATAAAAAGTGAGTTTTTTAAAATAAAATATCACAATTTTTGCCTTTTCTTCAAATTTAGCCCATGATGTCCACTTGATATACCGGAATAACCGGGGGCGCGTTGATTCAACCCTCATAAAAACGAATATTTCATTCAACAAAATAAGCAAGATTGAAATAACTATTTTTAGACAGAAGTGGGGGAATCTGATAATTATCTGCATATTTGATGCTGCCATTTTTAGGTTATTTTCCTCAATTATGGTAAGCGTTGTAATTTATGGTAATCAGTAGGGGAACGAGCTAGCCACAGCCGCCTACTAACACGTGGATGTTTGTTATATAAAATAAAATATAATTACGGCGTGGGTTACTTCCGAAATTTTGAAAGCATTTTTATTAAAATACAGTCTGAGATTAAAATAATTTTTTACCTATCATTTTTTGTTTTTGTGCGTCATTCACATTTGAATGTCGAATTTACGCAAAATATTCTAAGAATTTGGTCGTTACTAGCATGACCTAATAGGTACATTATTCACGGGGAATATATACATTTAAATATTTTTTATCCCTTATGCCTCTTCCCAACTTTACTTGATCTCTTTAACTGTGGAACTGTCAAATATATTGCCATCAATTTTAGAAAAATGCTAACTTAATTGGATTAGTAACAAAACACGGGCTCTGGGGCAGCAAAATCCATAAACCTATGTTATACAAATTCCGGGAACTGTTTTCAGTTTGGTTGCCGTCTTCTCCCCATTGAAGTTGAAAGAAGAAATAATTAAGTAAGTGATACTAGTAGAAAGAATTCTTATGATTCTCTTTGACTGACACATTGCGGAGTCTGTAAAAAGTAGACTGACTTAACAAAGAATATCTACAAAAAGTTCATTAACACTACCTCAAGGATGGACTATGCCGCTTTTAAACTTTTATTCAAAGGGTTGAATGCACACGTGCTGCCTTAAAACAGATGCCTACACATACAGACGGCGCACTAGCTTTTGTACAGGTGGGAATATCATATAAAGAGTTGAAAAAGTACTGAGGGATTCTCAGAGCCTGACGACATTATATGTTCAACGATGCAGACCAACAGCAAACGGTTGAGAAACTGGAATTGTGACTGAAATGAATATTGATAACATGCACAGCTAACACATTCTTTGTTGAGATCCAGACTGTTGCAATTGGGAGTCTGGAAGCTGGTGTTGAATGAAAGGCATTTGTCGTTCCATTTACTTTTTTTAGATTTGACATTTTTTTCGATTAATCCAGTTTATATTATAACGCTTCCCTGATCGTATTACTATCAAGCAGCAGCCAACTCAAAATTACAGATTCCCACACCAGGTTTGAACTCGCGTGCCATACCAGCGGGCAAAAACGATTTCTTTCTTTGATTAACAAAAAGACCCAAATTTGGGACCGCAGCTTAGATTAAAAAACTGAAACGTAACTGTCAAAATTTTATAAGTGATTTTTTAACCTTCGTCAACGTACTCATGATTTTTAATGTCTATTCTTTTGTTAATCTGCAACTTGTCAGCCGCTAAGGGTAATCCTTTTTTTCGTTGATTTGGCTGTGTAAAGTAATTAAGACTCTTTCGGTAGCCTAATTATTTTGATATACTCTTTTATAAACATTCCATTTATTTAAACATTCAGGTTGATATAGCCCAGCTCACCAATTTGCTGTCTTCGCTTCTAATTTGTTCATATTCCGAGTGGTCACATTGTGAAGAAATTCCAGCCAAAATATGCATGGAAAGTTACCGATTACCGCCAGGCTTTTACAGCTGTTTTAAAATTGGCGAAGAAACGGTTATGTCATCGCGGATACGATAGGTAGGCTTAATTTGGAAGGGGTGATTAGTGTCAGAAACCTTACTGCATCATTTGGCATTACATTGTATAAACCTATTTTCATTGTGACTGATGCGGATTTGGATCTCTTTTTCTTTCCGAAGATTAAGGTGCGAATGGTTTCTTACTGCATTAGTATACACTCCATTGCTAGGCAGTTAATGCATTTAAGATGCCGTAACTACCTCTCTGCTTTTGATACATTTTATGGAGTGCTTGTTCACATCTGCAAAGCCAAAAGAGCTACTTATTCTTACATTGCTATTCATATGTAAATCTGAAGTGGTGATCATCATAAGAGTTCCTTTTCATATTTTTCGTACAATATTTATTTGCCCATGCAAACATCTTGTTCTATATTTTTGCTTTTTTAATCAGTTCTGTTGAGTACATGTAATAAGTGACGAACGTTTATGACTGAAAATAATTAAACATACCTACGTGGTATTTGTTTTAGTATTGATTCTTTCACTTATAAAACCATCGATCATAAGACTCGATGTTTACAGGCCAATACCGTTTCCTATATAATTCATGCACGTCAATCAATATCACGGGTGATTATTGTATTCAATACCATTTTCGTAGCAGAGGGACACTTTTGTTACAAAACGTATAATGATACCAGCATTCGTAAAAGGGAAGCAACGTTTTCACTGAGCTTGAAAACTACTCGTGGCACAACCAACTCAAAAGGAATTGATAATAAATAAGATCTTGACCAAGAGTCTCCTTGAGGCAGAGAACACAAACAGGAACAAATGTCGACCGCCATGCTGTCGTCTGGTTGCTGAGGAAGGACATCGAAATTTTCGAATGGTCGGATAGGGCAGAGAGACCATGTTTATTACAGTGTTATACGGAGGTGAGGATGGATTCGCCGTCTTTTTTGTTGTCGAAACTTTTGATTGGATCGGGAAAATTTCTTGAAAAACTGCGGTAGTAACCCCCCCCCTCTATATCGTTGCGAGGATAGTATAGGCTACTATGCCACCTTGAACTTCTAGAGTAAGTTGGATGATAAAAGATAAAGGGAAGGAGAGCGTAACTTTAAAGACACCATGAAGTGCCGAATCCAGTCTGGCTATGTGACAATCGAAAATTTATCCCGCAATCGATAAGTTTATTAATCTAATGAGAACCTGACACAATTTCGATCGCACAGGGCCACAGGTTTGCAGTGTTCACTGTTCGGTGCACTGTTCTAAAAACATGAATACACTTAAGAAGCAACAGACATAGGTCTACATGTGTATCTATAGCATTAGTTCACATAGAAAAATCATGCAAGTTTAAGATGTAGCAGTGAGTTGACCATTGATTTATACACATGAATAATTTACCTGTGCGACACGTCTAAGGCGAAAATGACATGAGAAATTGATTTTCCTTATGCTTTAAAGTCGGCCACTAACAATTGATGTTAAGCTGTAATCCAGGTACAGTTGTATTAACTTATTCGTATTTCTAATATTCAGATAACAGACAGCAAATTTTCAACCCAAACTGCTTGGTGAAGATATTGCTACATCACATTAAAGAGAGGTGTCATTTAGACAAAAATGGTATTTCTTTTATTTCTTTTATTTTGTTTTCATCACTAGTGATACCCTGTCGAATAAAGTCAGTTTTTTTATTTTGGTTTTAAGTAAAATTTTTAAGGAAAATATTTAAAAAATCATTTATTATCGCGAAACATACACGATAAAAAATTAAGAAAAATTATTGTTGGCTAGCTCATCAGTTGCTCTTCTTAAAACTGATTTATTTTCTTCAATACTCCGTCATTCTAACCTAGAAAATTTTATGATTACATGAAAAAACGACCTTTTTCAGATGTAGTCGAGTTATCTGACGACCAGGGTGCGGTAAAGAATCTTCACACCAACCTCACGGAATACGGCACTGAATTCCTCAGCGACAGGGAGCAGTTAATACTATTACGAGTGGAAAGTAAGTTATTTAAAAACGAAAGCGGTGTAACGAACCTGGAGGTCCGTGTAACAAAAAGTCCGCCCCCATTTAGTGATAATGGTTAAGGTCAAAATCTAGGGCGAGGCTTACCTGCACAAATCAATGGGAAGCGGACACTTAGACCCCATTCCCATACCTGGATCGATCTAGCGGGTTCGACCCATCTCCGAGGGTTTTCTCGCTTAATTGCACTCAGCTTAAGCGGGTCTGATGTTTGGTGCCCCTACTGAAGCTATTAGGGGGTAATAAATCAGGCCCGTAGCCAGCAATTTCAGAGGGGGGTTCGTTTTCTGAAAAAGTGGACCTTTTAGCATAAAATCCTCAAATACATAGGTCAAATTTTACCCAGAGTGGACCTTTTCCCAGCAAAAAGGGTGGTTCTTTCGAACCCCCCGAACCCCCCCTGGCTACGGGCCTGTTAATCATTATCATTAGCAGCTTCATTAGGCATGCCAGACATCTAAGCCGCTTCAGCTGAATGAAATTTGGGGAGAACCCCTCGGGGATGGGTCGATCTTGCTAGGTCGATTTAGGTGTGGGAATGGGGTCTTTGTCATGGGGGACTCTCCCAACGTGGCCCCGGGCCCTCCTCTTCCTCTATTCTTTAGCAGATATCTAATTCAAACTTATAATGACAAGGCTTCTCCTGTGACCCTTCCTCACATGAGTCTCTTCCTGCTTTTGCCCCCCCCCCTCCCCCCTCCCCCCCAAAGTAAAATTCTGAATCCGACGTACACATGTATCCACAAAACTTTCTGTCATCTTCGGGACTCAGATATCGTAGTGCCTATACAATCTTTTTCCTTTGCTGGAATAACTTTGTGATCACAAATTCTCAAGTATAGTCATTATATACACATGTATATTCTTTATTTATTTTTCATCTTTTTAAACTCAATCATGTTGTTACACAACTTAAAAACTGCAGGCCGGCAAAAAACGACAATGGAAGTTTTAGTGCCCAACATAAGGATATCGATCTGCCTATACAAAAAAAAAAAAAAAAAAAAAAAAAAAAAAAAAAAAATGAGTCTTGGAATTAGTTGTTACTAAGACATTAACTATTTTTAATTCACAGAGGACGCTGAGGGTGAAGAGGACAGACCTTTGTATATTCCACTTTTGGACGGTCTGGAAGAGGATGAAGAATTTATAAGTAAGTTACACCCACCATAGGAAAGTAAAGTTACCCCATTGTGAATTGGTCTACACATCATTTTGCATCTTTTAGCAGCAATTAGTAAAAATGTATTCAGGTCTGTGAATTAGATGTACCTTGTCCTTCACCAAGAAGAGGTTTTTTTTATTATTTGCAAGGAATAGAAAAGCAGCTTAACAAATTGCATCAATAATATTGTTTCTTATTCCAAAATATTAAGACAAACAAACAAACAAACAAAAAAAAAATGAAATCTTGCCACGGAGCCTTAGACTGCATTCCCACAGATTTTGGATCGCTCTATCCCCGTGGGGAGTCTCACTAGATTGCTGTCAGCTTAGCCGGCTTAAATGTCTGTCCCGCCTACTAAAAGCTGTAAGGGGGTTATTAACTTTCGTGCGCGCTCGGCTGACAGCAATTTAGCGTGAACCCCCAGGGAGTAAGGTAGATCCAGATGGATCGATCCAAATCTGTGGGAACCCAGTCTTAGACCATTACCGTAGTAAGCTCTCACAATTTTAGTCTTGAGTGTCAGTTTTAATTCTTTAAAATATGCCATCAACATGACAGATAACTTTCTGAGGACGGTTAATTTAATTTTATTTATTTAACTATTTTCTTTTTGTAATTCCAGGAAAACTGAATCCTAACCCCGAGCCCCCCAGTACAGCCCCAAAAGGCAAACGTCTCTCCAAACACAGGGGGTCAGTGGTGGATACAGATGGATATAAGGGGAAGAAAAATAAACAGCCTGCTAAAAAGACAACTCCTAGAACTAACTCTGCTGGGAAAAGAGGGTCAATCAATTAAACTGAAATGCAATGAAGAATGTTTCTGATGGTTTGAAATGGAGCATAATATTTGTATTGATATATATTTTAGATCGATTAGAAACTGCTGATGATAAGGACAAAAAAGAAAGGTTTATTACCCCCAACAACACGCCCCTCACACCTTGAAACTAGAAAAGAAAAGGTGTGAACTACGGGCCAGTTTTACGAAGCTCTCATAATAAATACAGTTTAGCATCTCACACTGTGACTTCTTTCCTCACAGTATGTTCCACTTGCAGTCTGGCATTAACCACAATGAAGTAATAATTTCCATGCTGATCCAGTAGGAATTCCACAGTGCCAGCATTCTCATAACCCACATATTGAGCCAGTTTTACAGCATCTGCAATCATCCGGTTACAGACCTCACTCTTAAGCCATGGAGCTGGGGCGGTCTCCATGACTCAATTCTTATAATGCTTCTTCATCGATGACAAGATAAAAATGATGGTTAAAAATGTTAATGATTTAGGACAAATATAATTCTGAAGAATTACTGAAAAAAATCCCATACCACATAAATATGTAATCACATTTTTATATTTATAAACTTTAATAAACACTTTTCACAAACCATACATTTTGAGTCATTAGGAAACTACTGTATTTCAGGTATGCCAACAAGATTATAACTTACGCACAAACAACGTGTTAGATTTATGTGTTTTTGAATAATGAGTTTTCCAGGAAGCTTCAACAATCTTCCCATAATCAACAAGGTTTACCCTATCCAAAAACCATTAAGAAATATTTACTGAGAAGAGTGTGTCACACCAAGAGTAACTGGGGGTGGCAGGCGCATCCGTGTTTGAGGCGGAATTGAAAAAAAGACATAGGTAATCATTGGTGGAAACCTAAGCCACATCAAATATATGAATGTTATGGAATTCACCTGTCTTCCATTTGTCAGAGGGCGCCTAAGGAACAGTTTTATTTTGCAACGACAATGCCCAACGCAGCAGACTACTGTCAGAATCTGGGGACTGGGCAACCACCGTGGCCAGATATGATTCATTGAACCCTATAGAGATTCAAAATCTATGGTCAAAGCAACTTTTTATTGTTAGAAAAAAGAGATGGCTCAGAAAGTATAGATTAAACTGAATAGTCGGTAGAACACAAAGAGTTTTTATTCAGTCAATAACGTGACATGAATTGACCGGGTATCCATTTCTTTAAGATCAATATTTAAGTCAGTAAGAAGTATTCCTTTTCATTGCATATTTCTTCATTTTCATTGTTCTGATCATGGTCCTCAGCTGGTTAAAGCTGAGATTTCGTTACTCTTCCACATTGTCATTGTCATTGTCTCCTTTCATACCACTGTGCATCCTTTCATCCATGCATGCGCCAAGCGAAATTGGAATCCTTGTTATTGTCAAAATAAAAAAGGTACATTCTGGTCTCTGATTGGTTATGGACATGGCCAAATTCTGTGATATAAAGCCCCAACTTCATGACTATCATCATCCTTTAGACAGTTTCTCATTTGTTCAATATCTTACTTTCAACTACACATTGAAGCATAATGGAAGGTTTTTTGGACAATTTGGATGAATTGAATTTAACAAGAAATACATTGAACAGTACATTGGTGAATGGCACCAACTCTCACCAAACAGCCTCTAACTTGTACCTCACCGTTGTCGTAGGATTCGCGTCACTGGTCGTCAGCCTACTCGGAATAATTTGTAACTCTCTGTCTTTCATAGTATTTTACAAGGAGAGAGGAAATACATCCACTGATTATCTACTATCCTGGACTGCGATCATGGATAACATCTTTTTAATCACAGCAATATTTACCGTCAATTTACCTGCTTGGTATGTTTATTTGGGATGGATTGAGTGGTTCTTTGTTGCAATGCAGATGGCCACTATTTATATTTGGCCAATCACACTGTTTGCAAGACTTTCTTCCCATTGGCTGCTAATCTTTGTGGCATTTGACCGTTATCTTGCCGTTAACAAACCTGTGAAAAGCATCGAGTTTCGAAAGGTAACAAAATGGCGATGGCGGACATACGTATTACTGACAGTGATCGCCTTGTATCAACTTCCAAAGTTTTTCGATACTAAATTTGTTGGATTTCTTCCTTGTGAACGCAGCTTGAATGACTTTTGCCAAATTGTTCAATTGAAGGACTGGGCCACTGGTTACAAAATTATTTACCGCAGGGGGTTTCCTTTCATTATCAACGTTTCACTAACTGGATTCATGCTCATTCTTTACGTTAAACTTATTCAGTCCTTGAGGAGACAAGCTAAAATGCGACTGACAATGACCAATTCTGCATGTGATAACTCCAGCCAGATAATAAAAACAGTGGTGTTGCTGATCACATTTTATGTACTAGCTGTGCTACCTTTTAGTTTTACATCCTCCTTTTTGGCTCTTGTGGAGCAGATACCTAGAAAGTTAGAGAGCTTTACATTCATTGGACACCATATTAAACCTGTGGGATTTTTTCTAACAAGTCTCAACTCGTCCATTAATTTTTTCGCTTATGGATTGTGTAGTTCATCATTCCGTAAAAGATTAAAGCATTTGGTGGGTTTTCAAAAATGAAAATAATTGCATAGATTTTAAAGACAAACAATGTGCATTAGAACTTTAGACAGTAAAAAAAAACAACATTTTCCAAGAAACTTCATAAATTATTTCATAATCACCAAGGTATACCCTATCCAGAACCGTTGAGATCCATAAAATGTTGTTTTAGTTCTATAATTAAATTTTGGACAGGCTTATCAAAATTGTCAGCTTCCATCGTCAGTACAGCTATCAAAGTTTCGCAAAATCTCGCAGAATGTGAATAATGAATATAAAGTGCAATAGCTAAGGCCCAGGTGTTACAAAGCTCCAAGATGGAGACTCAGGAGAAGTCTGGTGAGCGTGGCTCTGAGGGGTAAAAAGGAAACGGTAGCCACCCAGTATAAATTAAAAAAACCAGACAATGGCAAGAGACCAGAAAAGAAGGACCCAAGCAATCTATGTTGGCAGTGAGGAAAGCCGTTGGAAAAAACACAGGAAAGGTAGGAATATCAAGTATTATATGCAAAGAGAGAAATCAACATGAACGTTTTTTTCTGTAAACTTATTTCACCATTTGCGCAGAAAAAAATCAACCAAAAAACTGCGCTACACACCTTTTCATTGGACACGGGACAAAAGTTTTCGGTTATGTAGGCCCTACTATGTTGTTCATCATTGCGTAAAAGATTAAAACATTTTGTGGGATTTCAAAAATGACAATAATTACATAATTTTTAAAGACAAACAACGTGCCTGAGAGCTCTATGTACCAAAAAAAAAATCTCCAAGAAATTTCCAACAATTTTACCATCAGACGACCATGAAACATAATAATCCCCGTTTTAAAATGCTGCGTTTTAGTCATCTCATTTGGTGACAATGCCATTTTAATAATTAGCGCCGTCGATGACTCCATTTCTGGTCTCCGTCAAGATATGAACGTAAGTCAAAACTGGAGTGCTCATATGGATTCTGAAACGGATGTATTCTGTACTCTCTAGCAGATGCAGGCTGGGTGATGACGTCATTTTTTCTTTTTTTAACAGAAATATCACAGCGCAGTATAAGAATAGTGTAGATATTTGACTAGAGAAATATCTTTGAATATCTAGTGGACCAAGGAAACTCTGACCAAGGAAACTATGTAATTTCTTGCCCTGGCAGAGTGTGCTTATTCTGTCCGTGAGTGTGGATCCAGTAGGTTCAGGAAACCCGCATGCGTATCTGGAGTTGGAAAGAGTTGCTGGTCTTCATATCCTATTGTGTATTCCTATCACAGTCCTACACTTTGGACAGGAGTGGACCACATCCTTCATCCGATCCCAGAAGAAAGGAATAGCACAACACGCGCATGGAAATCTGAATGAAAGACAAAATATGCATAAGTATCTGATTTTTTATTTTGCTATCATAGATACGACCTTGCGATGTAAATTTAAAACATAAATAAATAAATAAATAAATAAATCTTTCCATATGGATACGATATTATACATGTAAATGATCAAAAATGTAATTCCTAGTAATGCATCCTTGCTGGTGTGGTTGACAAAGTTATGGACTATATTGGGTTTATTCTCTATGATGGCTGTATAAATTATACATAAAACTTAATAATATTCTGTGTGTGATAGTTAGCCAGTAAAGTTTATCATCACAGTGGCCCTTAACCCCGTGAGTGTATTGCTCTCCTTAACGCAGAATCCAGACTTAAAGCATTGTCCAGAAAGATTTAGCGGGATTCAGAGGAGATGGAGAAGAAGGGGGTTAGTAATAACGGCAGAAATAATGGGAACTGATAAAAGGCGACAGAATTAATCTAAGACATTTTCCTGTTTTTATTTCTTGTAAGTTCTATCGAGTGATAGTCTATTTCGCAACAGCACGGAATACCCATGTTCTTGATGACACTTACTATCTAATAAGACATTCCCGTGCATATAGAGCTTCGCCCTCATCGTTTAAAACTTAACCCTACTATAAAAGTCTCGTATGGGGTTGTTTTAGGCTATCTCGGTTGTTTCTCATTTCAGACCACTAACATTGCAACCGGCATTACCCTGCGTTACCACGCGAGATGGGGTGATGGCTGTGCAACTGTGTTTTCAATAGTCTCTGAAACTCAGGGCGCCAATTGATTCTATACTTACCCAATAACACAAAGCACGATACAAGACAGGTATGTACACGTTCCAGTTTGGTGATACAGTCTGGTCATTATTACTTGTTTACATTTGGGGCAAGTCGCCTCCACCGAGTCTTCGGTGAAATAGTGGTCCATCGGAGAAGGTTGTGACGTCACGACCACCGTGGTGGACTGGTGGTTATAATGAACTCTTGGCCCGCCTTGGGAGTAAGGAGCTTGTGTGGGGTGGGTATAACCTAAATCAAAACCGAACCAAGACCGCTAATAATATTGAAATATCAGTATGAACAAAGGGAGCAGAGAGTCTAGAACTTCTATGAAGTCTTCTATGATTTACATATTTACAAAGAGGACAGTTGGAATTTCTTCATTTTTGTCGATATACATATTATGGCGTGCATATGAAACGAATTGTTCTTGTATCCTTTTTTTTCACAAAACGAAAACTTCATCCTTGTCACATCAAAATAATGACTCTGACAGATTCATAATATCAGAAAAGGGTGACATTTTACCTTAACCCCTCTCGCTCTTTTCCTGATTTTCATTAACAGTGGTGCAAGTCGGGGCTATTACAGATCCAAGTGTTAGAAAATGCTTGGGCTTAAGAGCGAGTCTTTTCTTCTTTAGGGATTGGTGCGTGGTAAATTCGCCATTTTGTTTTGGAAATTAAGTAGGACTGGATCCGCCTTTGATTTGGACATAGACATACAGTGGTGGAGTGGATCATAGGGAAATTGCATAATTGACTTTTTAAAATATTATTAATAAGAATTCCTTTACCTTGCACTACAAATATGTCTTCTTTGTCCGAAGATTTCGGAGGTGGGGGTGGTGGCACCCAAGTGGAAATGGGGGGTACCGCCGCTGCATTCCTGTCGTTGTTAGACGATGGAGGATCCAAGACGGTAAATATGTCAACTGAGTGTGACATGATTCAGTTTGGTTCCTTGGCAGTTTTAGTCTGCTCCCTGTATCCCAACGTCTACGGAAGTAGATTACACCGTGAGAGCTCTGTTATCCTCAGCGGGTCTTTGCTTTTAAACCCCAAATATATAGCCCTTCTCTTCAGTTTAATGTCAGTCCAAGCTGTATTCCAATGAAGATATAGTGAAAAATACAGAAAACCCGATATAATCAAGGATTGCTGGTCCCTTAGGCACAACTTGATTAATTTCATGGGTACATGTACATGTATCTGTAGATTGGGAAGTAGCGTGCGTCGCTATATTCTGAATAAAACAATCGAGAATTTTCAATATTTTTCCATAAGAAAACTTTGGTGCGTTGCGTAATCTTAATACTACAATAATCATACCATCAAAACCGATTTTTGTGTATTGTTTCGGTTTTTACGGCTTCTTTGCGGCATAGATCTATAAAATATTGCATCACGTTGCAATTTGACATAATGTAAAAGCCACAAGGACGTTGCGACACAAATTTGAAATGTTTTCTCACTTTGTACATTCCGTTTTTTCTATATCTATGCCCTGTCTGGTTCATTTAACGAACTGCTTTTAATGGATTCCCCTGTCTGTATGGTTACAAACGGAATGAAAATCCTTCAATCACATAAGCTAAAAACAATGATATTTAGCAATTAGCCTTAACAATAATGCAATAGAGGCGCAAAAAAATTCAGTTCATCCATTGTTCCTCGTCCCAACAAACACATTCGCCTAAAGTTCTTATTATGTCCTAGAATAATCGCAATAACAAGAATCCTTGCAAGAGAACAAAAAATGTACATTTGGTTACATATGGAATTTATTTTCAAGGAATGATATACAGAACCTAATCAGGGAATAGGCCACCAATTAAATTTACTGCCTAAAAGATACAATAGATTAAAAAGTGTGCTTTCCTTTTATTTTTTAAATTTTAGTGAGTCAAAAGTTTGACCTAGGGGACAAGGGGGGGGGGGGCTCAAAAGGCTAGACTTATTCGGTCTATAGACATAAATTATGAAATATTGCTTACAAATAAACAAACTTAGAAGGTTCCATTTGTTATTACCGTTGGAAGCCACTTTTTATTTCCCGGGATGCATGAAACGTTCATATTACACATGTTTTTAACGTGATCCGTGAAGCACCCAATTCCTGTGACTCGTGAATATGGTTTTTTATTGTTCGCCCTTCGTAAAACGAAGAATTATAGGCCTACCTGTACCCGGTGATAGGCCTACTTGATTTTCATGATTTCGACTCGCATTATCAGCGAGATAGGAATTAAGTTTTTGACTTGAATTAAAAATTGAGTGTTATTTGTGAATTGATGATTTTATTTCCTGTGAACTGTAATCACTACCCCCTCCCCCCCTGTGGGACCTAGAATGTCGCACACACGCGCATGCACGAATACACGCGCTGCTACTTTGTGATTTTTGATTGAACTCCTCGGCATCTTCAGCCATCCCTAAATACAGTTGTCAAAACTTTTCTTTTTATTAACGTTATAAGATGTAGGCAAAGTCTGATAAACCTTTTTGGATGCCACATACCCGTATTGTCATGTCCTCAACCGATTCTTCCTTTTAATTTATTTTACCATCTTTTTAAAACTACTGGACCAATTTTTGAATTTGGGCCTACCGATGACAACTTCAGCAGCTGTTGTTAGATTGAGTCTGTAAAAAACGTTAGCAGTCCTACAAACATTGATTTAATCTATTTGAATATTACTTTGTATTGATCGAGATGTATGCGTAAAAAGTCTACGATATCAATCGCTCTGGATCTAATATTTTTTATTAGACTCAGTCTGTCTATGCCTATACTACAGTAGTCCGTCCTATGTGCTATTTTCAAGTTTTTTTTTTGTAATTAGAGTCACATGAGACATTCGAGTCACCTTTTTTTCTTTTCACGTGGTCATTCATCATATGTTCAAATGCAGTAAGTGGACTGTTAGTTTCACAGATAATTAAATTGCAAAACACCCGTGCCGTCATTCACATTTACGAACAAACACATGACATTGACCTTCTTTGACTAATCTAACGCATGCGCCGTTGATTCCTTATATTATTATTGGGTCGGCCTGGTTTCAACTGGATACCACCATTACTGTGTATAATAACAATGCTACTCGGACTTGACAAACTGAGTTAGTGATTTGCTTTTGGACTTAACACCATCTGCTCGGACATACGTTATCTCGACCACGGTACGTAAAATATGAATATCACGTAACTTCGTAAGTAGCGTACGTATCACATAATCTGACCAGTGATGGCGATTCATTGAACACGACTGATGTATTGGAAGGCAAGCATGCATAGGCGTGTTGACACGGAGATCGATCATAAGATAGATTTTCAATGTTTCTGGATCAAGTTGAAGTGCACATTATCATGTGACGGGGCTGTTTGCGTGACAGCTGTCAGTTTTGGGTAAAAACCGAAAATGACATACTGGTACAGTGTACTGTGGGTTGAATCCCCTGCCCAAAATAGCGGCTGATAATCTTGCCTTGCGATTGCGTGTAAAAATAGTAAGTGCTCAGTTAAAAGACGTCAGACAGGCGTGCACATGAAAAGTCTCATGTACATGTGACCTATTCTGTAAGACTAAGCGTAATGTTTCACGAAATATGGGAATTAACAGAATTTTACCGTTCTTTGAGGATGGGTATTGTGGCCCCATCATGGGGGTTAAATGAACAAGGGTTTATAAAAAGAGAATTTAATGGTAAACAGGCCCGTAGCCAGGGGGGGTTCGGGGGGTTCGAAAGAACCCCCCTTTTTGCTGAAAAAAGGCCCACTCTGGGTAAAATTTGCCCTAGGTACATGTGGATTATATGGTAAAAGGTCCACTTTTTTATTAAAAGAACCCCCCCCCCTTTGAAACTGCTGGCTACGGGCTTGGTAAAACTTAATGCTGTAATGAAATTTAAGTACAACTGTAGACCAAGGTGCACAAGGCAGTAATGGTCTCCTTATAAAGATGTGTCGAAAATGGTAAGCTATTATTAGGCCTACACGTCTTTACTTGTTTTTTAACGGGAAATTGACCTTAGGTCTATTTATTTGTTATTGCCCCCCTTGCCCCAGCAACTCAGACATTAGGGCTTGATTACCTTGTTTACAAACAATCGAGTCCTGCGCCACGATGCCCAGCATGGCGTGAGTCATGTCTGTGTCTTGGCTACCACTGACGCAGCTCTATATTACACTTAATCACGCCTCATCAAGTATTTTTAAACACAATGCCAGTGAATTGAATATTTCTGGTATTAAGAAAAAACCTTAAGAAAATAAAACGTAAACAGCTTTTCATAGACCTAACAACTACGTCATTTTTCCCTAATGACCAATAATGTGTAAGTGTATAATTTGCACTCGATGGCTCAGATTTTCTATTAACGAAGATCACTAGGCTATATAATCACACGAAAGTTAACTATCAGTTATTTATAATTGTGCGATCATTTTTTTTATGATTCTGACACAGGGTCCTTTCTGTGTGATAAATGAAACTTTTCTATTGATTGAGTAGACTGGCCTATATTTTGGTATAACTACTTATTACCCTTTGTCTTATGTTTGGGCTCTTAGAAGTTATTAAACAGGATACAGCAACTCGACATACATACAGCAGTCCCATTTTGGATATTGACAGACACGTCACTACACATAAGGTAATTACCTGAAAGAGACACGTACCCGGACTTAAAGGGTTGTCTAATTAACTTGGTTTCGCGGCTTGACACGGTAGCGTGACGGAGTGACCGTGGAAAAAACGATGGAAACAGACATTTGAAATTGTTTATTTTCTGCCTAATGAGATGTGGGGATGTTTAAACGAAAATTGTCCTGGTCTTGTTGTCCTGACTTTTAGATGTCTCCTCACATTAATCTTTTTTTGTTTGTTTGTTTGTTTTTAATGGGCTCTGTGAATGAGGCTTAAAAGAGAAGTCTCCTTACTATAGGTATATACCAAACCCCCCTCCCCCACCCCAATCCCACCTGGCATCAGTCCTTTAAGTCCACATTGAATGGTAAAATGGCAGTGATTTAATAGTGCTTTGCTACCTATACTACTGTAACGGGACAACTCGATCAGTTTGGAATGTGTACTGGTGCAGCCACAAATTGAGCATTTTTAAATCCACCCCTCAAAGTGTGCCTCCTTGGAGATTAGTATTTCATGTTGACGGATACTTTCTAAAAGAAAAGATATTCAGTCAAAGCAAAGTCTTAAAAGAGACATTTATTGAAAACGTAAAACGCAAGTGAAACTGTTGAAGTGCTGAATGTCACGTTTATTATTGAGGAAATGATGATTGTGTGACTGTCTGATGATAAAGACAACTCGTTTTAGCCCAGTCCTTTCCGAGTGTTATTACAAAGACGGGGTTGTCTGTGATTCTTCATTGCGTTTATTTATGCGTAGTGCAACATATATCAGATCATTAAAACATCAGTCAATAGAATTCCTAAAATTCTGCAGTACCGTCTTAAATAAATACTGTGTTTATATTAAAGCATCACGGATAACGTGTTACAAAAAAGACTCACAGAAAATAGACGCATTTAACTGTCATACCAGTTGTTGGCGTTTTCTTACTACAATATATAGTGGTGAACGATGTTTATTCGACACTATCAGACTTAATAGAAAGGGATAGTTGCTACGAGACCATGTCTCTCCATTATCAATATTGTTTTTAAACTTGACATTTACTTTGCTTTTCATGTAGTTTCCGTTTATCTTGCCGGATACGTCTGTCTCACAAGGTAGATAAAAAGCTATGAACTCGAGCCTTTTAGCTCTTGAACGTCCTTCGTGATAAAAACGTAGGCGAGATGCTTGTATCCGTTACCCTCACTTATGATTTTCTTATGTGAAAAGAAATATTTTGATTATGAAGTCAAATACACATGCACTGGTTACACATCTACTTTTGTCTGATAAAATGTCGATAACGTATGCATGGATAAGTTTTCTTCAAAAACTGCTGTTTTTATAATTTCAGCAATGCTATTTCATAGAGAAACCCATCTTGAAACTTGAATGCCTCCGCATCTGTTGCTGCTTAAATAAGTGTTAACCTTTTACCTTTCTTCAAGAAAAGAAATGCACACTTGAACTTAAACCAAACACCCAAACGCATCTGTTCATCGGCCTCGAGTCATGCGTCCAAAAGCAGCTGTCGTTGCGCTAGGCCTTTCCATTTTAGACTCGTTTTCTTCACGTCATGTTTAATTAATCACACAGTTTCTTTCATTTTAATCAATAGGTATTTGTGATCAACGGAGATCCCGGGTAGAAGTTCTGCTACACCCACAGGCCACAACCGCCTGTCTGCTAGCAGGTATAGCTTGTCTCTATCCAGAAATCAAATTTTGTGTTGCGTCGAATCTTTTAACTGCCGGCTCGTTGCTGACTTTCTTGATGGGGTGAACAGAAAACGCGGAGTGATCAAGCAGCTCGCTTCGATTCTCAGGGGTAACACGTGACTATAGAGGAGAATAGAATAGATTGGAGTGACTTTGTCGTTCTCTTCAGTCATGACCAAAGACAAAGACCAATACACGCTGTCAGGCGCACGCGTGTGTACAAGTTGTTCTAAGTTGGGGCATATGATTGGTTAGAAAATTCAGCATCTGCCGTGCACTTTATTTCAAGGCCTGTCCACATGGTACTGCTTAATGATGTACAAATACATTCAATTCTACGTAGAAAAATCTGTAAATAATTTTTAAAGAGAAGAGGGTGTTTTGTTGGCAGTTTAGAAAACTTGCTATTTAAAATTGATTTGAACAAAACGTCAGGCAGCTATAACAGGGTTTTCATAGATTTTGTCGTGATCTCTTCTTCAACATGACAAGGTTGGCTTGATATGGCACAGTAAAACTCAATCAATGGAAATCTGCGTGTAAAAAACTTTTGATATTCCACAACACTGATAACAACAACGATAAATGTTAAACGATCGGCTCTAGATGACGTCGATGTATATTACGTAGTCGTTATAGTATGTCAAAATTCCAGTTGCATTGGTGAGTCCATTCAAGGCCGTTGTTACTTGCTCTCCCGTTATTTGCATTCAATACTAAAAAAGTTTAAGGGACATCGAAATGTTAGAAGCCCGCTTTGTTGTGCAAATCGGCATTTATCATAGTTGAATTCTTCACAACTGCTAACCGACATTACCACAGAAACGAAAACCGTGCCCATGTGAAATAAACAATTGACGGTATTCATAGACAAGCTTTTAGTTTACTACTATGAAAATAAAAGGATTTCATCAGTGATATAAAGGCACGGCCAAATTGTCATCTCGCTGATGTGGCCCTAATAGGTATTTTATGAGCTTAGTTTATAGGGCATCTTATAGGACAGATGGGAAATTGACGATCAACGTTTCTGATGTTTTTGTGACATATCGACGTTTGAAATACTCCGTGAATGAATGAACTGAAATCGTCCAGTAAGCGTGGTCAATAAAATAGACGCATCTTGAAGTTTTATAAAATCAGTACTTAGAACGAAGGGCCACGGAGTCATCTGGAGACTAATGTATATAGTTTTCTAAACGATGTTTATATGGTCTGTTTAAAAGTTTACGGTATAAGATTAATATTGGAAGGTGCTCGTCTTGGTCCATTTTATATTTTGACGATTTGCCATGAAATAGCGATAAAAAGAACGAGAATTCTACCTACACCTCGAATGTTTGGAGAGAATAAAGGGTTAATCAAATATTGTCTTTCTGGTCTTGAACGGCAAGTGCATACAAGATAACGTGTTTAAAAGTTGGACCCATGAAGCGAACGATCCATCAGCCCCTCTTTAAAAGCAGTACAAATATCAAAAGAAGTTGAAAATGTCACGGTAGAACATTTTCATCGACATAAAGATATGTTGATAGACGCCGTTGCCACTGTGACACATTGAGTAAAAACAGCTGACAAAACGACACAGTTTTTTTCTTCTTTTTCTATTTTAAGTTTTTTAACGTTTTGCTTAACATCAAGTAGAACATCACATTAACGAACATCCCGGATAGTTTACCCTCGGTTAGGTTGATCATTCAGTTAAACAACCATTACGCAGAGCCTAGATATAATACGGACTGGTAAAAATACTCCAATGAAAAAAGTGTGTCGGCTTCCATTAAAAATTCAACTGTGTCATTGATTCATAAGTTCTGGGATACTAAGCTTCTACTGTATGTATTATTTTATGATACTTTGTGATGTCCATAAGAAATAATTTTAAAATGAAAAAAAAAAAAGTTAAACCCTGTCCAAATATCGCGTCCGGTTCATTGGCAAAGAGAGGGAGGGGAGTGAATAAATTAAAAAACGAAGGCCCAGTGCCAGTTTTTATGATATTATAAGATTTATAGCAAATGGTTTTAAGTATGCTGTTATTTTACAAGAAGGTGATCTCAGTGGCTGATTTTATCAATGCTATGTGTAATCCTAGGACAGCACATTGACAAATACCCCATAGTCATGCGAGCCTAGGCATTCCATGTATGTTGTTATTTGCTTATGTCATGCGAGAACATGCTTGTTCATTGTTACTAGAGTCTTCCGGGAGCCAACTGTGTGTTTCTTTAATGCACAAACCTGCTCATTTTTAACGACTGCATGCGTAGTCTGATCAATTATCATGGAAACGATCATTTGTCAAGTAGATTTCCTAGACCAGAAAAATACACCAACCAGAAAGGAAACGGCAAGTCCAGTTTGTCACTCCGTTGTGCTTCAAACAAGGGGTTGGTGTGCGTACGGTTGTCATTGATGACTTATAGCTGAAACAAAATAAAGCGAATTATTGACCTTTTTATAGCTGACATATCAACTGGATAAGTAAAGACGCAAAAGAGAAACTGGGCAAAAGCGTGATTAAGACGCATTTTGATCATTCGATAGCAAAAATATAAAACGATGAACATGTTTTTGTCAGATTAAACTTTCTTTTATCAGCTAGATTCTAATTTTTGGATTGTCCTTGACATTTTTTGTTTTATAATCATTACATTTTACTGAACTTCAAACCATGCCCTACTGTGGGTTCGGAATCATAAAGCCTGATCCCATACCTGGCACGAGTAAATGTGTTACACAGTAAAACGTATTTCGATGGAAAAAAGACTAACGTTAACAGTAAAGCGATGAAAATAAGTTCATGGTAAACTAATCGTCTGGTAGAGTTCACCTTTGGTTAACCAGGTCATCTATAGAAAGCCATCTGCCACTGACTGTCAATTCCGCTTTCGATAAGTACCTAAAAAGTGTTCTTTTTTTCAGATCGATTTATTTACAAAAGTTAAGAGAGAAGTTTTTGTAACTTTTTATAATTTTTGTCGTAATTAGTCAAATATACACATCCACTGTAATGTGCACTAAGATGATGAGGTTTGTGTGTGGGTGTTGGAAGGGAAGGGGGGAGAAGAAAGAAGGGGGATAGCTCATTTTACGCAATTTTCAATGTAGGTTATCAATTTCACTTCCAGAATTATCGTTTATGTTTATATGGTCTCTTGGCGAAATCCCACGAAAGTAATTTGTTTTATTTAATTTTATTAATGATTATTATTTATTGCCAACTGGGATTCACAACGTGTTATAAAGATACATTTTTGTCGACTCGGACACGAGCGAAAAAACGTCCATTATTTCCCTCATTTTCCTTATTAAAGAAGTTTGGAAAACAACTTTTCCCCACCATTTAGAAAGATGTCAGTTGAAAGTGAAATATCGTTATCTGTTGTTTCCTTAATCTTCCTTCGAGACGATGTCATGTTCTACATTATTTAATGAGAAAACTGGCGATGCAGTAATGCTTTTATTTATAAAACGATACTGAAAATAACTTGTGCAGGCGTCTGTTAAAACAAGAAGGCATGTAAAACCAGCCCATCTGTCTGACACTGTCATTACTTTGGTTCTGAAAAATTACAGAATAGAGAAATTACGGCTGCCGTCGTGTAACAAGTGTAGTCACATAAATCGCAAGATGTCAACCGGGACTTCGCGAGGTTTCTCATTCCTATAAAAGTGGCTAACCGACCTTGTTTGTGCTGGAATAGTACAGAAATTAATATCAACATTATGAAGAAACAATGATTAGTACGCCATGCACATTTCAGAAACACCTCGTTTGTCGTTCCGGACGGCTCTTCCTGTTTTAATCGATTCCACAAATAGAACGCACGTGAGCGCGTACGGAAAATTACTCGGGTCATCATTTCAGCGACGTCGCGTGCAGGCGGGTCGCATCAGTGAAGTTCTTGTCATTCTTTAACTGCTCCAAACATCCAATCGACGTAATTAAGTTATCCGAGAGGGGTCGGAGTTTCCGGACGTCATCGTCCGCGTTGCATATGTATATAAATGTCAAAATTTCTGCTCTGTCGTCGGACAAGTTCCGTTCTCGACCCAACGCTTTCTCTCCGAGTCCTGAAGTTCGACGGGCACAGGTGACACGCGGCTGCTAAAAAAAGAATCATACTTTGTGGTAAACAGGTTGTGATACGCTACAGAGAGATCGTAACTGAAAAATTGTGGTTTGTTTTGTTCGAGTCGGTGATTACACATGGGTAGAGTGACGCATGAAGAAAGAAAAAAAAAGGGCGGGTAACACAGGATTCCATAAATAGAACATCGGGGATTTGGCCTTCCGGGTTGTCCTTGAAATAATGAAAGGGGGTCGTCATTTAGGGTTCAGAGATCCTTTAAATATGTAGATAACCACGTCCTCTTCTCTGCTTTGTAGACATTCTGTAGCTTCGGACGACGTGTAGGGATCATTATATCGTGAAACCACAACCGAATAAGCAGGCACGGGTCCGTTAAAGAGAATCAAATATTGTGTTTATCATTTCAGTGTCGACTGGGGTAACGTCACCATGACCAAAATAAAACGGATAGGCTACTGGTTTTCGGAGGAGAAGTACCATAAGTTAAAATGGATGGACTTTGAGCAATACTGCAGGTAAGCGATTCGGTTTTAAAGGTAACGTCTTAAAAGTACGGAAAAGAACGCCTCTGGAAACCGCAACTGACAGGTACCTAATTATTTGATGTTAACTGCTTCCTGAAGATGACTCCAAGAGATAAATGACAACATTTAAGAGAGCCTTCGCTGTTTCTAAGGAATCCCAGTTAAGACATAGGCCTAATATTATAATGCACCCGTTTTAACTTGTGATGTGATTTTGGGTCTTAAACATAACTGGTAAGATGATATGTTTTACAAATATTGTATTATTGGTTCTTTTGACAATCTTTATTGTAAAGACTTGACAAACAATTTGAGTTATTCTTGTACATGGGCTTACTGTTCACATGTATACTGCCCCAAACAGCTGACAATGCCCTCAGCCTAAAGCACTGTTTGGCTGTATGATTTAAATGTCGCCTTACTCAAGAACTGAGGCAAATGTTTATTTTTAATGCCTTTTGTTTCAAAATCAGAACAAAGAACTAACATTTGTGGAACTTCACTGATTGTGTTGTGGTACTTCTCATAAGGAAATTCGAGTCTATGAATTCTTTGAAATTTCATTATCATGTTTTCTTACATCTGAGAGTAAATTGATTTTCTCTTAGAACATCTCAGTCATACTAATAGTCATGCATGTCTCTCTTACATTTCAGTGATTGTCATGATCACTCAGAGATGGAACTGGTTAGGGTAAGTACTCTTGTTGCTGTCACATGCACAATAGCTCCTTCCAGTGACGTTTTTAAGGAAACCATTTTTACACTTAACTCCAGGAAGATGACAACTTGAATGCTTCTGTAAACATATGGTCCAAGTGTCTGGGTTCTCCCTTGGAGTCTGTGTTATCTTTCCGCTGACCACTGACTGCATCACGCATCGATTACTCATTGTTAAATGCAATCAAGCAGTCAGCTTTATTGATTTAGCATTATATGGGTTTTGTCAATCTTTTGCTGGAGCGGGATCACTTTTGTATAAATGAACATATGCATATAAAACATTTGCATATAAGCAGCCCAGAAAACCGCTGATTAAGATTTTAGTGGTGGATATTTTTGTAAACTTTTGATAGTTATTCAGCCACATTTCACAAAAAAAAAAAAAAAAAAAAAAAAAAAATTAAAAAAAAAAGTTCAGTATGATAGAACCAAGTCTGGTTACTTAGATGCCACCTAGCCCACAAAGTTAAGTTTTACAAAAAATGCTTTTTTTCACTCTAAAAACAAAAATATAATATTGTCTCAAAACCAATTTCTATTCATAATTCTAACTAATATGTCAATAACATTTACATAGACTTTTTATGAAAAAGACTTTGGCTTTATATTACATTGTCAGCTATATATAAGTTCAATAGATTAAATGAAACCCTTTGACTTATTTTACCATTTTTTTTTTGTTACTTGCTAGTTTTGAAAACACCTTCCATTTAGACTTTGTAACTAGCACAGATTATTGCATTTGACTGAGCTATCTCAACAAGAGTAGAAAAATACTATCTGATGAACAATATAAGGTCTGTTTCTGTATTCTTCAGGTCGACTTAAGCCGTCCCTTACATGAACAAGGGCCTTTTGATGCAATAGTCCACAAACTGAATGATCTAGTACTGCTGGCTGACCAAGGGGAGCAAGAATCAATAGTGCAATTAAACAGGTTCCAGGTAATTGACTTTTGTTAATACAAACTAACAGTATAAATAATATATATAAGTTATATATATTATTTATACTGTTAGTTTGTAGTACATATTTTCTTCTGAAATGGACACAAAACAAGGCAATCTAAGTGACTTGCCTGTCATTTAGAACTAAATTATTTGATAATAAATTGTATAAAACATGGAAACCAAGTGCAAAGACAGGTTGAGCAATGTTTCATGAGTAGGTGAAGTTTCCCTTTTTTCAAATTCAATTTTAGGGAAAATTCTGAGAAGTATACCTTTTGTTATGGTAGAGAAAGCTAAATATGATAACTGATGCATAAGAAATAAGTTTAAATAAAATTTTGAATAACAGTGCAAGTCACAGTCTCTATTGATTAATTGAAAAGTGAAAATATATATATTAACAGATAGTTCAAAGTGAGAAGTCCTTAAAAACACCTGTCCTCAAAATGACTAATATGTTGGGAGCAAGCTTGGTTTAATTGTACACATGTTTAACCCTTGACACTGAAGGTGAAGATGTCTGCATTATTGGCTTTGCATGTTGGGCTTGTTGGCATATACAGTGTGCCTTCAAGGTGTTTGTACTTTTGCATTTTGGACATCTTTTAATGTCGTAATCCATATATGGTTGAGAAAATACACTCGAGTGTTATATGCCAGAATACCTCAAGCATCTGCCAGAAGTGTTCAAGGCATATATCTGGAATATTATTTGACATAGGTACTGAGAGAAAGTAATTGGATTTCACTGAAAAAGAAAAACACCTCTAAAACAAAATAAAAACGTATATTGCACATTCACATAACATCTTTAGGTAAGTATCATACACAAACACAAACACTCACGTGCCTTCCATACAAAATGCATATTGCCACTCATGTTTTCTCACGTTTATTTTTTGTTTAAATGCATCTTGAAAGTACACTTTTCATGGTTGAAAATGTCCCCCACAGTTATATTTTTTCTCCAAATGTCCTGCAAAGCATATCTTTCCTAATTCGGACCTTAGATATTCTTCAGATAAAGTTGACTGCTGTCAGTATTTCATCTAACATTCCGGGTGTACATGGTGGTCTAAATGAATCATGACTTGTTCAGAACAAGTCATTCAATTGGAATTGGTTCAAAACATTGTATCCAAAGACAGGGATGTGTCGAGTAATGATTTGTGAGAAGAAGAAAACTGTTAATTGAAAATTGGATTTGGCCCGAAAATCCCTTATAGAATACCTTTAAGCAGATACTAGGCCTTTCCACTGAAATATTGGCACTTAAATTGGTACACCTGTGCATTGGACAAGACACGTATGGTGTAATGCCAAAATAGTATGTCTGATATGTTTATCTAGTCTTTGCCAAAAGTTTTAGTACAGGGATGCACTAATCCCAGACATTGCCATAATTTTATTCATATTATTTATTTATTTTTTGGTTGCCCTTGACATTCTGAAAATCTGCTTCTAAAAATATGAAAATTTGTAAAGAAAATGCTTTGTACATTATTTTGTTGACATGAAAACTGACAGCAAAATGACAAATTTCCTTAAAGTCATTAAGATAAGCCATTGTTCTAAAGATCTGTTTTGCACATGCTTTTCACAAGCATTTGCCCAACCTCTCCTAAATATAGTCCCACAGGTCAGATATTACATGTGATATAAGGCATTAAATATGCTATTTGATGACGAACCATGGCATAACATGTTATCACATTGGCGTGGGGAGACAAACTACTGGAAATCTGACATCTGATGGACAGATAGCCTGATTATGATTTAAACTGTGGCATTTTATGGGTGTGTGTTCTAAATTTACTCAAATTGAACAGGTAAGAATTATTATCATTTGAAAAAGATCATGGACAAATGATGATCCATCTGTAAATAGGCTTAAATGAGTTTTTGCACGAATCTTTCGTGCTCTTTTTTTTCTTATACAATTTTGTATGCACTACGTAGTTTAGTTTTAAAGATTTTCATTGAAAACTCAATATAATTAAATTAAAAGAAAAAAAAATAATGTGTATTTTTAAAAGTATTGATGTTTTTTAAAGAAAAATATAAAAATTTGCTTTTGTGCATTCTAACATCTGGATAGCTGTACCCCAAACCCCCCATAGCCAGGGGGGGTTCAAGGGATTCGAAAGAACTGCCCCTTTTGTCAGGAAAAGGTCCATTTAGGGTAAAATTTGATCTAGGTACACATAAGTTTCATTGTAAAAGGTCCACTTTTTCAGAAAAAGACCACCCCCCTTTTGAATTTGCTGGCTAGAGGCCTGACATGTATTGTCACCTTAAGTTCTGACGTGGGCATTGTCATTTATTTTGGCAGAAAATTACTAAAGTGGAACCTTGCTTACAAACAGCTATTGTGAAGAACAGTGGCAATAATAATAGTTTAACAATAAAAACATCGATATTGCCAAAAGACCATTACCTATCCTTTCACATATCCCACAAGACCCCAAAGCTATCACTATGAATGTCTTTTCAGGGTCAAGTCAAATAAGGCAAATGCATCAAGTATTTTAATGCATAACATGATGAAAAAGATGCTAGGAAGGCTGCCCTTAGGTTTTTAAGTATAATACACATTTGAAGTACAAATTTTTAACCCCTAAATAGACTGATTTTCTCTAATCTTAAAATACTGGAGTGACATTTGTACATGTACATGAACATTGCCCCAATGCTGAGTGATAATGGAAAGGCATAATGTATTTTTGTTGTGGATTATAAAAGTCATAAAAGCATTGAAATGATCCATTAAACGATCCACTAAATGTTAAATATCTTTGTTTTTTCCTGAATAGAGGAAAATTAATTTATGGATAGCAGGGGTTTTCTTTAATCTACTCTGATGACTGTTTGATGATAATTTTCACTGGCCCTGTTCCAAACTTCAAAAGTGCAAGTTGAATCATGTAAGTTTGTGAAATGTACGGTGGTTACTAAGGAATATCGACCTCCACTTTTTCTCAACAGGGATTTGTTTCAGGATTTGTATGCAATTAGTCAGAAAAAAACAAACCATCTGCCTTGAATTCAAGTCGGTATCTAGAAGTCTCTGGTTAACAGTTAAAGAATTACAAACCAAACATTAATTTGAGAAATATAATTTATCTTATACTCTCTGCATTCTTTGCTACATGTCCACATATCTTTACCAATTGAAAGAATTATAAAGAATTATAAAACCCCTTCAATTAACGTACCTAATGCTGATATTTCCATCAGAAATGTACAGGAAGCCAGAATTATTTGATTTAAAAATAAAATGGATGTGGAATCCAAGTGCAGTTATGGATAGAGCAATGATTCATTAGTAGGAGAAAAATTGCTGATGTTTCAAAGAAAATTCAATTTGGCTGGAAAATCCCAAATAGGACACCTTTAATCAATTGCATGATAGTTTCAGTGAGAAATAACTGAGTCAGTTTTTATAATCCATATGATCCAAATCAGTTCTTTTAAGTGTGTGATTGGTACGGAAAGATGTCATCAAACAAGCAGATAACAGATAGAGTGGATTGAATCTATAGAACTTCATATTTAAGTTTTTAGGTCCTGCCATACTGGCAGCTAGGCTAGCATAATATTTACTAAGATTAAAACTACTGCTAGTGTGATGACCTAGCCCCACACTACAGCATAGCTTCTTGTTGTAAATAGATTGGTCTGTTGTTCAGAATAACCCATTAGAGCCAAGTCATCTTTATATATCATTCTAAAAATAGTGGTACTAAAAAGTTCTTCGGTGCATGATTTGCAAACCTACCTTTAAAATGCAAACAAAAGCAAGCCAGTTTATTTAGCTGTTAATTACTTAACTATTACTGAAACAGTTAAATTAGGTTAATGCACATGACTTATATTTTAATATCTTTTAAAGTCATTACTACAAAATGCAGTTTATTTTTACGACTGAATAGCTCCAAGGTCTTGTGTACACATCTGTTTTGTTGAAGTTTATCATAATTATGGAAATCACTTCTATTAAATGTACAATTTTTTCATGACTTCATCGTAAATATTGCAAAAGGGATGCAGGCACTACTGCTTGATATGGAACGTTTTATTATAAGACCACCTTAAATAGAAGAAGTAAAAGACCTCTTTTTAGCTATGTTTCTACAGTTGATGAAAATTAAACAACATCAACAACAACAATGATTATAATAATCACTCTAGTGTAAAGAATTCTCAATCCTCAGGGGATTAACATTGCTATTTCAAAGGACACACTATTACAAAATGGAAGTGATCTTACATTTGATCAGATCTCTTACCCACGATATCATGGGCCTCCCCCTTAGACTGGGTTCCCATCCCTAGATCGATCTAACAGGATCGATCCATCTCCACGGGGTCCCCTGCTAAATTGCTTTCAGCCCAAGCAGCTTAGACGTCTGGGATGCCCACCAAAGCTGCTAAACGATAGTTAATTACCCCCTATCAGCTTCAGCAGGCCTGACCAACACCTAAGCTGCTCAAGTTAATTGCAATTAAGCGAGAATCCCCTCGGAGATAGTTTGATCCAAGGTTAGTACGAAAGAGAGCATTCACATCGAGAAGAGCTGAGGTCTAGCAAGGCCGAGACCTAAATATGGCAGATCTACATAAAAGGAAGACCACCTAATCCTTTAATGGTCTCTCAATGAATGTCACTGAAAGTCATTGAGAGACCATTAAAGGGTTAGGCAGTCTTCCTTTCATGTAGGTCCGCCATGTTTAGGTCTCGGCCTTGCTGGACCTTGGCTCTTCTCGATGCTCTCATAGTCTCTGGGAATGGTTTCTTAAACAGTGGCTCAGCCACAGAGGAGGATAATTGTGGGCTTGGGCATAAACACTCACCTGGGCATCTGCAGTAAGGCTGAATTACGTACAACAGTTGATCTGAGTTGATATGATCTGAGACCATGCTTGACTTGCATATACATAACATAGGCAGGGATATTTACTTCTCAATATGCAGGTTTTAAATAGTCCCACTGCCAAATACAAAGGGTATATCTGACAAGGAACGTGTTCCTCTTGACTATCTCAAATCCAGCAGGATCTGATACAATAATTTTGTCGCAGACTACTAGTGGACTCAGTGGTTAGAGGGTCCGATCCCTAACAGACTCATCATTCCTTTAATTAAGCAATGTGACTGCCTGATTATGTAACTTAGACTATTTCTGGTTTAAAATAGTCTAGTTCTGAATACAGCCAAAAGGGTTTGCCTAGGAACAGATTGGTATACAAGTTATCTTTAAGTGCCACCTCTTACTGAATGTTAAGCATCCTGTTATATGACGTATATGGCTCTTTAAGATAAGTCCTGTCTATATTACATTCATATGTGGGGGTGGAATATTTTAACCATTCAGTTTTTATAATATTATCTTAATAAAATTTGAAAAGGCTGATAAGTATTCCTGAGGCTTGAGCCAGTGTAGCATGTTCCATAACATACCTTGCCATTTGCTGCAAGATGCATGATAAACCACATGAGTCAATGTCTGGTGAGTTATGTTAAACATGGGCATGCACTTCAGATACATGAAAGATCACTCAGGCAATCTGCAACTCAATCCAGGATGTCTTATTATATTTTATTTGTTTTATGGCTTCATGGATAGCCATTGCAAGGTTTATGCAGACAAGGCACTGACTTTCCTCAGACATGTTTTACCATTAAAATTGGACCCAGTTTAGTGTTCCATGCCCTCTGTGTGTGTGTGTGTGTGTGTGTGTGTGTGTGTGGGGGGGGGGGGGGGCATCAGCTTCTGCTTCTTCCATGCCCTCTGTATGTGTGTGTGTGGGGGGGGGGGGGGGGGGTAGCTTTTCTCTTCAAATAGCATACGAAATAATAGACGAAGACACTTGTATTATAATATGTAGGGGTCAGGTATACGGGAAAATTCTTGGTTGTCTGNGTGTGTGTGTGGGGGGGGGGGGGGGACATCAGCTTTCTGCAATCTCTAGCTACAGGCCTCTCCGAGAGAGAAAGAGAGAGAGAGATTTCAAATTTTTTCAAACTGTGACAAGGCCGCATTCAGAACAACCGACTTAAATTTGTGGATCAAATATGGCCGACCCACTTGAATGCTTGTTACCTAATCCACAGGGGGAATCTTTTAGGTATCTATTACATTGTATTAGTGGATTAGATGGCAAGCTTTTTAGTGTGTTGCCATGCCTGTGGACTAGTTAATTTGCTGTTCTGAATAGGTCCTAACTTAAACCAAAAATGATTAAATGCCAGCAATGACCAGATTACATGCCCCTCACCCCCCTCCCCATGTTACATGTTTCACAGATAACATGGAAGAGTCAGTAAAATGCACGTACTGAATCGAATATCATGATTTACAAATAAAGTGGCTGTCGAGGGACCACATACTATTTCTGCTCTAAGTCAGTTACTTTTCAGTTTATGTATATGATGCTATGCTTTTTCTCTGAAAGTATATTTATTTATCTTGATGGTACCTATTGTTCTATCTTTTAGGAATACATGAAAAACCACCCAAACATTCTGCTGCTTGATCCATTCCAAAATGCTCGCAGGTTGCTCAACAGATACGAAGTGTGTAAGCTTATCACAGACAGTGAGATTTGCAAGGGAGGTATGTACCTGCATATTTGATAGCCCTTAATATATTGATTTAAAGATTATAGATATTAGCGTTACCCAAATATGTAATCTGGTGAAGACCTCCTCTAGTGTTTTCATTTTTTATAGGTCAAACAAGCAAAGGGATTACTTTAAAGCAAGCTTCTTAGTCTTATGTAAACGTGCAATGACATATACACAAGTTCATATGCTTCATACAGTGCATTCAAAACAGATGATCTGAGGACTAACTGATCTGCTGACTAAATATGGCTGACCCCACTGAAAAGTGACGCTGCTAATTCCCTGATGGTCTCCCTGCCTCCACATGCACCATTAAATGGATTAAATCTCGGCTCCAAGGTTTAATTACTAGGACCCTGCAGCAATGGCGGGTGTGGAGGCAGGGAGACCAACAGTTTATTAGTCTGCGCTATTTTTAAGTGAGTCGGCCATATTTAGTCCGTGTATCTGTTAGTCCAGAGATCAACTTGTTCTGAATGCCCTCATAGGTTTATATGAAACATATGGTAGACACAGGCTTAGAATTATAAATAATTGTTTTGAAAAAAAAATAGATTTATTTACCACTTGTAAGTGAACTGTTTGCCTTTAATAAATGATACGTACCCTGGGAAAATGAAGGTCCATCTGTTATGGATTTTGAAGTTTGGAATTATGTTGACTGCTTTATTTCCATTATAATGAATTAATGCTACGCACATGCAATGAATGATATGTCACATAAGCAATCTGCAAATCACTTAAAAATTGTACTTTTTCACATAAAACAGACCAAAAAGAAAGTGAATTTACTTTTTATGTGTATGGAGAATGTATGGGAATGAACTAAAAGGACCTTGCCTGTCCCTTATTGAAAACAACATTACAAAAATACACGTAACACTGTTGTTTAAACCAAGGAGTTATAACTCCTTGTTTAAACACAATAAAATAGTTGCAGATTGATATCCGGTGTTTCTGATATCTTTGTATGACTAAGAGAGATAATGTTTCAATAAATGTGTTATGCCATACCAAGTTATTTATGAAGAATAACAATAACATTAATTACATCCTGGCAATGGATAAAAATAGAACGATGAATAACCCAGCACCTATGTCCTGTTAGAACATGATAGGCATAGTAATTGTGCTCTGCTCAGCAGAATGATCCGTGCCTATATCTTTAGCTATATACAGAGTGTATGGCAGCACTGACAAATACTGAGGTATCAGATATGTTTTTCATGAAATATTGTCTGAAAACAAAGAAAATAAATGGTGAAAAATATGTGAAGTATGCCTGTCTATGTGTACTGTAGCCTTGCTGAGTGTCAGATTGATCTATTGAAAATTATATTAACTCTTTGGGAGATACATTATTGTTGGCTTAATATACACACACCTGTTGTGTATGGAAGCCATTCTGCCTAGAGTTTTGTAGGGATTAAAAAAACATTGCTGTTTTGGAACCCGTGTTATGTTCTACCAAATCCATGCAGAATGCAAGAAATCTGAAGATTTCAATTAGCACTGCCTATATTTGCTCTCAAATTTTTGTTGCAAGAAGTGTGAGGCTTTACCTCGGCCTTTAAATTTAAAAAAAAAAGATTTTTATCTAAAACTACACTATGACCTAAAAGATGTCTTATTTATTAAGGCTCAATAGCACTAAGGGCTTAAGTTCACCTGCATATATATGAGCCTCACAAACAACTTGAGCACTGATTGAACTTTAAGTTATTGAACAGGTATGGATTAAAAAGGAAAAAAAATCCATTGTACCATGTCATGAAAGAGTGCTGGAGGTCCAAATGTATAAGTAGCTAAGTAGAAATGGTTTTTAGAAGTACAAGGTACATGCATTTTAGATGCATACATATTTTTTGATTCAGGGCTACAGAATGAGTAAAGTGGTCCTTAAATACCTTTTCCTCTAACCTGTGAAGAGACTATACTGGTACGTGAAAGGTTCATTTTGCAGATCTCCCATTTTCCTTGTTGTTAGACAGGGGCTATATATCGAACACGTTCCATGCTTTTTAACAATAAATTTAATGCATGTGCTCAAAAATTTTTTCATCTTTTGTTAAATTTTGCATTTTGATGTGAAAATACAAGAAATGAATCTAATCTTTTACTTTGCTGAATCCAATGTAAATGAAAAATTAGTATTCTAAAAATGTATATTTTTAGGGAAATTTTCACTGAAAATTGCATCATTTTCTCTATGTATTGGAACATACAAGTGCATCTTAGTTCCCTAGGTTTCCCATCTGTTCAGTCTGCAGTGATGGGCTGTGGTTAGAGATATATATGCACACAAGTATTTTTTTCTTTACCTAAAGTAATATTACAGGTGCTAGCAAAAAAAAAAAAAAAAAAAAAAACAGCATTCAGCATTATAGTTTAGAGACCTGCATTCCCAAATTAAAGATGTACTTTTACATGTACTTTAAATCAATTAATTTGATACATAAGCTATAGTTTGTGGTAAATCTCAGTAGACAATGTGGATAACCTAGAGCATGTGGTAGTTAAGAGTGCATGATTATAGCCTGAAGGTTCCAATAGTCCCAAGGTTCATTGGTCGCTATAGAACCTTCAGACCACCAAACCCTTTTATTAAAAAACTGGTGAAAATGTTACAATTTTTCACACCAGTGAACCTTCAGACCATCAAGATGCACTCAGTAGTTGCATGTAGGTTTCATGTCCTTTTTTGACATACATTGTATTTTGTTCTGTTAAATATTGTATTCTGCTTGGAGGTGGTAAAATAAAAATCTATCCAATCTATCTATGAAGCAAACTGACAAATAAAGCAGTTTTTATATCAGATACAGTTGTAGCATGCAGTAGCCTTTTTTTAAGAACAATGATAATGACAGGGATGATAAGTGTGTGTGTGTGTGTGTGTGTGAGAGAGAAAGAGAGAGAGAGAGAGCATTTTCCAATATTTTAGTCACGTACTTGAGTACCTTATCTCTCCCCCTCCACTAGATATAATGAGAGATTTGAACTGAAAAACATGCTGTTATGCTATGACCTGAAAACATTTGGTAGAAACATGTACCTTGGCTTTTTGCCAGGGATGAAACAAGTGCAGTATTTATGGATATGTTTTCTTCTTTACCCGAAGACAAAATATACTTTCAAGTTTGTGCAGTGCTATATTTGTGAAAAAAGGTACAGAATTGAAAAGAATTTATCACTCTTATGAAGAACATTGAAAGTGTAACACACACAGTGACACACACACACACACACACACACACACACACACACACACACACAGGAACAGAGAGAGAGAGAAAGAGAGAGTACAAAGGATTCCTCACAACCAGTGAGTGCTGGATATGTTTAATATCTCAAACTGCATTCATATACATCACTGTTCTGTCTTCAATACCAGTTAATTACAGTAAATGCATATTAATATTATTTCATTATTATAATTTTAGGGTAACACGACATGAATATTTTAGGAATGATAATGAGATTAAAAAAAAAAGAACAATTGAACATAAGATCTGCTTTTAAAAACTGAACATAACGTAAAATGAATGTCTGTTACTCGTCACCATAGAAGGGACCATGCATATCATAAAACATAATGAAGACTTGAGCAGATGAAATAAGCTCTTACATTATTGATGACCGTGGCTTGGCATCCAGACTAAAGTTATTACACTGGTCTAGTATAGTCTCACTAATATAGTCAAGTGCACTCAAATTGCTATGGGCACTTCTGTTATTTCCAATCAATTTTCATGGGGCAACACTAATCGCATATGTATCAAATATTTAATGCTCCATTACTCATATCTTGGATATCCCACAATATTAATATTGTATAAATGTTATAAATATGGGTTCACCCTGGCGTGAAATCCTTTGATCAGTGGCTTTAAATTCTTTATTTTGGGCATGGCTTTTGGAAGGTTGTTATTGATTTGATCAAAATTGATATGACAGAAAAGTGGTGCAAGGGTAATTGGTTAAAACAAAAATGATGTGAGAGTTTGCTCTGTCATAAATTGTGGAGATAATTTGTTGACCCAGCAGTTATGAACCAGCAAGTATATATATATTTTTTTTGTTTTAGATTCACCAATCTTTATACCCGAGTGGGCTGTGGTGACTTCTTCAGATCCAGTCAAGTGTAAAAAAATTCTGGAGGAAAGTAATGTCACATATCCACTAGGTAACTTTTTATATTTTCATTTAGTTAACAAAGTGCAGTGCTTTTTCTTATTATTATTATGCTGAAAGTGTTGTACTGGTAAGATGAACACTGTGTAGTGTTTAATATTTGCTTTAGAAAAAGAAGTATTTTTTCTTACATTTAAGGAGGATATTTACATTTACATATCAGCAAGAGGTGTATATTTGGCTTTCTGAATAACCTATAAACTGTATAGAAAAATGTGTAGAAAACAGCCTCCTTGCATTCTGGAAAAATTGTTCATATTTACATCAGTAATGTAACACATTCAGATTGTACTGAACAGCATATATTCATTTGTCCAGCTTGTCGACCAAATGCCACACAGTCATACTAAATTATATTAAGTAATCCATTTAGTTGATATGAATTATTTAGATGTTGGATTATTATATAACTGATTCCATGCTTTTGTTAACAATTAACAACATCAAACATTTCTGCAAATTGACTCAAAGATTTCTTGACCTACAATGTCATTTCCAAACCCTAATCAAATGACTGGTGTATTCAAATTTTAGCTGTATTAGCAGTGATATGAGTATGTTGTGAACCATGTACATGTATGGATACCAGGACCTAATCTCTGTGAAACCAAGTCTATCTTTAACCCTTATCATTTCCAAACCAGAGCAAATGATTGGGTTTATCAGGTTTTACTTAAACAAGCAGGTTATGTGATTTTTTGGATATACAATATAAAGTGGCATATTAGATTCTAAAGGTTAAATGAATATAATAATTTTTCTGTCTTTTAGGTGCTGCTTGCCTGTTCCTCTCTAATAGACAATAAAAAAAATGTACAATTTCCATATTCAGTAAGCTCCATGACTGGGGCTTTATGTCTTTCATGCTCTACTTGTTTCCCAGTAGTAGTTTTAGAGGAAATTATTTTTGTTGACCCAACCAAAACCAGGGTTACCCTTTATGGGGCTCAAGTGTGCTGCAATGCATTACATGTTTGTTATATTAAGAGTATGAGTAAGCCTTAATCCACTTACCTTGATAATGTGCTGTCATGGGTTATGCAGAAAATGAGTTTTACCCATTGAACAAGAAATATATCTGCCTTAGATTTTAGGCTGTCCAATAAATGTTTTATTTACTACAATGTACGCTAATAGTGTTCTCTTATCTTTGAAATAGGCAGCAAAGCTTGAAATTAAAAAGCTCACACCAACAATGTTTAATCTTTTTAATGAAGATTTGTATGAAATTGAAAATTATATTTCAAAATGACAAAAATGGATTTATTTTTTTGTTTAGGCAAAAGAATGAAACATGTTAAATGGCATATATTGGTGGAATTATGTCAACTCTTTGGCCATAAAAAATGTTTTCTTGTTGCATGTATAGTTCTTGTACCACTGATGTGTTCTAATTTGTACTGTTTTTCTTTTCACAGTGTGCAAACCCCTGTTGGCAGAGTCCCATGAGGTAATTGCACAAGATCAATACATTAAAACTTTTCAAAAATGCTCCATTTGCTGTAAATGGATCTGTTGATTTGTAGTCTACTTTTGTAATCCCACTTAATAAATGTAGAATCCAGCTAGTCATAGGCTTAAGTTGATCACCTGCAGTAAATATTGACTTGGTGATAAACTGTAGAATCATCTGATAAGTTTGCCTGTTAGTAAATCATTGATGAACTCTGATAAAACTTAAAAAGCTTTACTGTGTTGCATTATTTTTGCTGTCAAAGTTAAAAAATAATTTTATTGCAAGTAAATTTGATGAATTTCATAATATATCAATCTATATTCATCATTAATCTTCATTTTGAGCAGCACATAGCACTCATTTAACAGTGATGACATAGTGAACTTTGTCATATTCCAGATGGCAATCATCTTCACTGAAGAAGGAATGAAGGATGTACAGCCGCCTTATGTCGCGCAGTCTTTCATCAATCACAGTGCAATTCTCTACAAACTCTATGTTGTCGGTGACGAGCTTTTCTTCGTCCAGCGGCCATCTCTGAAGAACTTCACTCCAGAGTGTAAGATACTCCTATAAACATACATTGGCCATAATTAAACTGTAAGCAAACATCCAATTATTTCTTCTCTTTTTTGTTACCCTGAGTCTGATGATGCTATTGGGTTGATGATGATGATGTGACAGGCTTTTGGTGATTTTCCAGCACAAGATTGAAGCTGTTTTAAAGCCTCAACTGCTAATCAATTGAATTGAATTGAATTGAATTGAATTGTTTTGCATTGACCATTTCTCCCTTTAGGATCAATGGAATGTTGGTTTTTACAAGTTCCTATGTTCATATTCATGTAGAACGTGCTGCATATTCACAGATATGCTTTATGGATGTTTTTTTTTTATATTACACATATGACATTAGGTGAGATGTTAGTAAGCGATGCATTTTTAGGGGCATGAGTTGTCCCCACTATAGTTCCAACCCATTGGCACACATTTTAAAAATAAGACGGCGACAGGATGTACCATTGCACCAAATATCAGACCCATTAAGTTTGACTAACAAAAGGTGAAATGTGAATTAATGCTACCTACTTGCCTGCAATTTTGTGTGGTGACTCAACTGATAGTATTATATTTTTTATCACAATGAACAAAATGACAGTTCTTTCACATCCAGGTTTAAATAACTATAACACCTTTCCCTGAAGGACTTATACCCAATTTTCGCACAGTTCCCATGATATTCTACCTTTTCAGATATTCGTACAATAACCACTGCATTGTGTTGCTTTATATAGGACAATACGATGAGGCCACATAAATATTTATATTATTTGAGTGGTTTTCCTAAGAAGAACACAGATTGTGTGAAGGGAGGGACGTGTTGACAATATGATTTATGATTACATACCTTTGAATGTGGGCGAATATTTATGGGGGTTGGAGAAATGTTTTAACATAAAGATGGTCAAGCATACCATACATAAGTGGCTTACAGGTGATTTTGTGATATCAGAATGACTAAATATACCATACCAACCAGTATAAGTGGGCAGAAAAGGTCATGACAAGGAGATGAAAATATGTAGCAGTACGAGCAGGAGTTTCACAAATTGGAGTCATGCCATTTAAATGAGAAAAGAAACAAGATTCAAGATTCCTATTTAAATGGCTTTCGAAAAAATTATTGATACTTAATTTTTTTATTTTGTTTCAGTGCCAGGGTTAAAAAATTGGAACACATTTTAAAATATTATTTTTATCATGATTATTTATACTTTGTTTACTTTCAACAGTTGATTATGATAATAATTGTTAGTTACTACAGGGCTCAATACAGATCCAAAATGCTAAGAAAACTCTGGTCTTGTGGGTCTATATTGATTTTTGTAGCTGCATTCTACTTAGGAAAACTACTGATGGGCTATTCCCATTGATTTTCACACACATGCTTGGATTGTTTACAAATGAGTGTTTTTTTACAGACTAGACACTATGAAAACATTGTCTGACATTTCTTATGTTTGTTAAGTAAAAGAATTACAATTTACTCCGATTTTGTTATATAATACCAAGAAGTAAAAGTAACTTGTATGTTTTTCTGCATTTTTGTAAACAGTGTTTTAATTAAAAAATTGTTTAAACATGCATAAATGGTGTAGTTGAATATGATATAAGTTTAAAATATACATATATAGTTGAATTGAATATGATATAGATTAACTCTGTGCTCTCTCTATCAGATAAAACATTTTTTGTATAAATTTCATTTATTTACAGAATTTGTTTCGGTTTAAACAGATCTTGATTTGTGTTTTCAATTCTTTTTCCCCAGCAGCCACAGAGACAGATACCATCTTCTTCCACACATTTGATGTGTCCAAGGAGAACTCTTCAGTCTTCCTGAACAAGGTAATTTTACAGCCCTACGGCCATTTTCATGGCTAGAAAGGTTTTTCTTTTGAACACTACGATTCCCTCCTGCCTTCAAGCCTGTCCTAGGAAGTAATAAATGTCTCAAAACTAAGGCTGCATTCACAACTAAGTTGATTCACTGACCAACTGGTCTGCAGATCAATATGGCGCACACTTGGGGCAGAGTAATTAAATTTGGGTATGCTTTCAAGTGGATTGTGCCATGTTTGATCTGCGGACATAATTTACTGTATTTATACCTGCCAAATGCTTCTTAGCCATATTATATGTATGAAAGTTTAACCACATTGTGTCCTGAAAAGATGAAGTGTTGTACCAAAAGTCATCTTTATGGACAAATAAGTTTAGAATCTGATTCCCAGTGGGCAGAGGTTTAGCCAGGATTTTAAAATGGGAAGTGCAAATTCATTTTCTTACTGAGACAGGCTAAGTTAATTATATAAAATTGTAAGAAATGGGAGCCTAAAAGATAGCTATAATGGGTGACAATTTATTCCAGATGGACCCAGAGGACCAAAAAAATGATCTAATTCAACCAAGAGAATCCCACCTGAGGAAGATTACTGACAGCATTCGTGCAACATTGGGAATGGACCTCCTGGGAATAGACGTGATTATTGAAGATGATACAGGGCGCTATGCTGTGATTGATGTCAACGCCTTTCCTGGTAGGGTCATGTGTCTTATCCCATATACTGTATATCAAAGGGTTACGTGATTTATTGGAAATTGCAAACCAAACATGTCCTTTTAGGATGTGGGAAAAGACAGGACCATCTATGTCTTTGTAAAATTCTCCACAATTTTTGGCAAGAATTCGAAGGAGTTGCACATATATTCTTATTGACACAGTGAAACATTGAAAAGGTGATTTCTATTACATTTGAACTCATACCTGGTGAGATATGAAGGGGATAACATTTTCACATTATCTCATGACCCAGACATTATTGAGCGATAAAAAAACTGGTGTACATCCATTAAGGCCCGGTGATTAAAATGGCTCATTCCTGTGCAGCATTAGTGAAGATCATATTGACTAACTTTCCATTACTGCACAAAGTATTAGTTGACCCATAAGCTGTTTTAGTACGGAGTAAAATGTGTAGATTTGTGCAGAACTGAACCCTTCCATATATATATATATATATATATATATATATATATATATATATATATATATATATATATATATATATATAACGGAAATAAATCTAGCTATCTTNGTATTAAAGTTTAACCACATTGTGTCCTGAAAAGATGAAGTGTTGTACCAAAAGTCATCTTTATGGACAAATAAGTTTAGAATCTGATTCCCAGTGGGCAGAGGTTTAGCCAGGATTTTAAAATGGGAAGTGCAAATTCATTTTCTTACTGAGACAGGCTGTCTAAGTTAATTATATAAAATTGTAAGAAATGGGAGCCTAAAAGATAGCTATAATGGGTGACAATTTATTCCAGATGGACCCAGAGGACCAAAAAAATGATCTAATTCAACCAAGAGAATCCCACCTGAGGAAGATTACTGACAGCATTCGTGCAACATTGGGAATGGACCTCCTGGGAATAGACGTGATTATTGAAGATGATACAGGGCGCTATGCTGTGATTGATGTCAACGCCTTTCCTGGTAGGATCATGTGTCTTATCCCATATACTGTATATCAAGGGGTTATGTGATTTATTGGAAATTGCAAACAAAACATGTCCTTTTAGGATGTGGGAAAAGACAGGGCCCATCTATGTCTTTGTAAAATTCTCCACAATTTTTGGCGAGAATTCGAAGGAGTTGCACATATATTCTTATTGACACAGTGAAACATTGAAAAGGTGATTTCTATTACATTTGAACTCATACCTGGTGAGATATGAAGGGGATAACATTTTCACATTATCTCATGACCCAGACATTATTGAGCGATAAAAAAACTGGTGTACATCCATTAAGGCCCGGTGATTAAAATGGCTCATTCCTGTGCAGCATTAGTGAAGATCATATTGACTAACTTTCCATTACTGCACAAAGTATTAGTTGACCCATAAGCTGTTTTAGTACGGAGTAAAATGTGTAGATTTGTGCTGAACTGAACCCTTCCATATATATATATATATATATATATATATATATATATATATATATATATATAACGGAAATAAATCTAGCTATCTTCCTTCCTTTTTGTAACAAATAAGACTGCTTTTCTGTAAGAAAAGGTTTGTGTGTGTGTTAAAGGTACTTATGAACCGAGCATGGATTCCCAGTAACACTAATAAACCACTTCTACTAGTTTCTTATGCAACTCAAATAAATTTGACATGCCAAGGGATAAAGTGAGTAAATCACTCGATCGGCCATAAAAGAGCTTTAGACTGCTCCTTTCTTTAAATTTTTGGTCAGAAAATTTAACCTGCTTATCTGAACTACTCTCTGTCCCATTTATATACACTGCATAGAAAGCTTGCAGATAATCTGTTCAAATTTCAATTTTTTGGTAATATTAAACAACGTCTTTTGGTAATTCTCTTAGTTATACCATTTGAAACTATACGCTAACATTTGGTTTGGCTTTTGTTGCAAAAAAAAAAAAAAAAAAAAAAAAATTGACTTCATATGCATCTTTAAGGCTTGATTAGTTCAAGAATATCTTGAAAATATACTAATTGATCCCATCAGACAGCAAAATTACCATCCTTTAGTCTGTTTTGATTAGTTCACTAAAATCAGTGTTTTGTTTAGTTTGTTGCAAACAAACAAATTAAACACTAGATTTTAGTGCAACAATCTGATAAACATGCATAGTTACTAAGTGTATCAGGTTATGTAGAGTATTCCTGCATCTTGTTTGATTTATTGATTGAATTTGCTTTCATGTCCAAAATTCCAAAACTCTTGAAGTATTCAATTATTGATGGTGATTTGATGTGCACAGTGTCAGTTTCCACATTTGACTGCATTCTTGGTTCCGTAATTTTTCAAATGTAAATTTTATTTTTAGGTTACAAGGGAATCCCAGAATTCTTCAAAGTCCTGAAAGATTTTATCTTGAAGAAAGTGACTTCGTTAGACGTAGAGAGCAACAAATTGCTGGGACTCGAGAATGGCTTACATGGTCTGGATGGTATGTCAGCATGCTGTGCAATGAATTACCAGGACCTTCAGGCAGCTGTATCATAGCTCAGGGCTGGAAGACACTGTGGGACCATTTTGTCACAATAGCCACCATTTTGATTAGTTCTGTTTTGCTCTTGTTCTACTTCATTCTGTTGGCATGTTGACAAGCAAATGGTTTTTTGATATTCACAACTTCATTATCAGCAGTTGATTACCATTAATCTAAATTTCATTATAGACAGTCATGGTTGATAGAATAATCAGCTATTGTGTGGACTTTCAACTAGAATAATAATGATAATAATTATTATTCACATCCAAATCAAATGCCGGACAAGAGTACAGCAAGACTTATTCATTTAGCATGATGACGAGACCTGGTTCATTGTCAGTCCCACTAAATATCGTCTGCTGTAGTGTTTGTAAAAATTAGATTAGGTGGCGGTTATTAAGAGACCAATTAGACATTAGATGCATCCATGCAAAAAAGACCAAAAAAAAAAGGAGACAAAAAATTAGATTAAGCCATCTTATTAGTAAAGATCAGATTACAGTGATACCTAATAACAAACCTTTTCTTGGGAGAAGGCAAAACAGCAGATATTAGAACTTTTTTGTATAGACATGATAAAAGGGACAGTTGATGGGATTTGAGAGAAAATGAAAAAAAAACATACTTATGAATTAGCCTTAATAGGTAGTCTGCACGTTTCCAGAGCTTACCAACTATTACTTCTGAGTCAGTGACTTGCAGATTGGAAAAAAAAGTACAAAAACATGTTTTGAGACAACTATTTTTAACTCAGCTGAATGCAAACAGTCACATGCTTTCCTTGTATTTCACTTTTGTTGAAAATGTATTTTGTAAGAAAGGTTGTAATACGGTTAAACAGCGTTAATTTCATGTTTGTTTGGACTATTTGAAAGTATAAAAGAAAGATTCAAACATCAAAAATCCCATGAGTAGTCCCTTTTATAGACTGAAGGACATCAAAAGGAGCATTATTTCCTGTGTACTTGATTCAAGCGGGACAGAGAAGTTAATCAATTTGATGAAATAATCAGCAAAAAGCTGAAGAAATCAATACAATACTGAGGGTGGTAGTGGTTGTGTCACATAATAATGTATTGAATTTTTAATATGCACTTGATGCATCATGCACCAACTGAAATGCATAGTGATCTGAAATAAAACTTTAATATTTTACGATGGCAGATCCAGTATCTTATTAAAAATAAAAAAGGGGGGACAGTTTTTTATTTTCATGATTCTGATCCTCCTCACCTGGATTGCCTTTGATTTTAAAGGAACAAAAATAGTCCAGAGATCTTCCAAGCAATGCATGTAAAATAAAACCAAAACACATCTCAGGAAAGATGCAGAAGTCGTCATACAATTTGATGTGTTCTTTGGTGTTAATGTTTCAAATACAGTTATGTATATAATGTACATATTTTTTATAAGAAGATGTATATTTTATCATCATCTTTGCTATAGGAGCTTTATACTGATCTTGAGTATTTTACATGGAATTCTGCATGTCAAGTGAGTAATTATTAATGGTAAGGCTCAAATGTGAAGAAAATGAAGGAAAAGCAAGTTGTCAACCTTAGCAAATTTTATTTCATTTTGATATTAGATAATTCCTTTAGGACATTGGTAAGGGGAAGTCATTTGAAAATGTCTGATTCCAAGTGTATCTAGCAGTGGTAAAAAAAATGGGAAAGGTTTATTTACAGTTAAAGTGTCAGCATTTTATTCAGAGTTATTTTTTGACAATTTTAAAATTGAAATAATGAAAATTGAATTGAACTAGCAGTGCCAGATTCTATGTATCATACTGACAACTAGTGCCTTTCTAAGGGTTATGTTATCAATGTATTTGATTAAAATTATTTTGAACACACAGAAGTTTGTCGGTTCAGTGTTTTTAAACCTTACACAAACTGAACTATTCACACATTCTGTAATGCAAATATTATCCAGCTTCACTATCAAAATGTTGATAAGTCAACTTGGAAAAAGTCAATATCATACAACCATCGTGACAGACATTCAAACTTTACAAGAGCAAACATCTGGAGAATGGAGATGCATTCATATTGAAGTCAGAAAAAAAAGAAACAGTATGATTTTTACCTCCTCCTTGATTCAAAATCTACCCCTTATGTTGTGATAATTGTTCAATTAGAATTGAAAGGAAAAAAAGAAGTAAATATCCCAATAGCCTGAAAGAGATTGTATGTGCTGAAATTTAAGTTTGATTCCTGTTTTAACAGAGTACTTTTTTTCAATTTAAAATGTATGTTTTGAATAATTAATCAAATAAAGGTGTCTCCAGTTCCTAAGTAATTGAAAAGGTATTTGACAAATACAATTGTGTTAACCTTTGGTTAAATATTGCTCTTGTAATGGCCAACAAATAATTATGTTCCTTTTTATTATGAGAGAGCTGATCAAAGCACAATTGCATACAATTTGCTTCTCTACCACAATCAGGAGAAAGTGTTCCATCATGAATGAACAAGTTGGCTGGATGTATTCTTCAGTCACTCACAAAAGATTACAAAGATGCACATTTCAACAAAAATATTAAGATGAAAAGCCTCAGCAAGACCTGTGATGAATATTTGCCTGTTAAGAGCAGTATTATCGTTATGACAAAAACTTATTACCTAGGTATAAAATGCCTATTTTTCATTTGAGAAAGCTTTACATCATCATCAAAAAATCCTTATATTTATGCCATAATGTCTTTCTTGCAAGAAAAGTAAAGTAATTCAGTCATCCAAAACAGTATAACTAAATATGCACTGCTGACCTCATAAGAAAAATTACTTCATATATACCACTGTTTTTGCTCATTTTAATTGAAAGTATATTGAAAGAAAACAAAGCATATATACTATGATAAATTCTGTAGACCACTTTTCCTCTTGAAACATGATTTTATGCTTTTTTAATGAAAAAGGGGGAGAAATCTTTCTTCTGCCATTTATGTTGGATAACTTTTAATGTTATAACAGGGAAAAAGTATCAAACTTAATGATATTTCAGTATGTTGAGGTGATGCAGATAGATGTACCAGCGTCACTAACAGACTATTAGGGAAGTCACTAGTGTATTTTAGATGGGCCTTATGGCTGGTTAAATAGAAATTCAAGGTTGTTAAGGGCAGTTTAGCAATACTATGTACATGTATCGGATCAAGGCACAGTTGTGATATCTGTATCTTGCTATGTTAGATGTTATTGAATGAGAATATAATTTTTAGACAAGCTTATCTCTTTCCAACAGAAAAGGAACTTGGAGGCTGTTTTTGTCTCACGATATACAAATGTGCATAATTTGTTTAAAATCTTCACAGGGCAGTGAAAACTGAGTTGAAATACAATTTTAGCACTTGCCTTCATTTGATCTGAGATGATCAGATAGGTGAACATTCTTCTCTACTCTCCATACCAGGTTCAAAGTGGGCATATAAAAGGATTAGATCATAAAAAAGGGAAAAAACTGTGGTGGAAAAATCTTTTTGAAACTAGCTTCTTCAAAGATAACACTGGAAAAACAGGACCTTAGAAACATGACGTGAAGGCACAAGTCTCTCTGCAGCCAGACAGGTAAGGGTATATAATGCATATATGATCTTTTTATTTGTAGAATAAAAGAAAATGGGTGACAATTTCCTGTAAAGTTATTGAAATTAATTTATATGAAAACTTCTCTTCTGAAACTGAAGAATGAAGAAATTGGATTTTTTCATAGACTTTTCAATTTTCAATTAATGATGTAAAGACTTCACTTTTTTATTGTCAAAAAACAAATATATGTATAGCTAAATAATTCAAGCAAAAGTTATAAAGAATTTAAAAATGTTTTGCCACATGAAACAGCAAGCTTAATTTTGTGAGATATGGTATATAGACACAAAATCAAAGCACAATTAAATGATCACTCATATTCTTCAAAACAAGTAATACTATTATCACAACTATCATTATAAAATGATCCATATAATTTCAGTGGTACAATTGGGTCATTTCTTGGACCCTTCCACCCTAATTAACACCTGTAAAATGCAGACTGTTCTTTAATTTTACTTTTTATCTTATCTAAAGGTATGCAATTTGCTCTGTTTATGTTGGATCCTAGTCTGTAATCAACTCTTTGCACCCTAAAATTAGTTAACCTATCATTACATCATCTTTGTTTTTATTTTAATAAAAAACTTAAAACTTTTAAGATTTTCCTGTGCAAAATCTGACTGGACTTGCATGGCCACCCACATCGAATCTGCTAGATAGCTGAGGAAGCTGTCAGGAGGCCACAGCTCTCAGCCAGTGAGGACTAAATCTGACTATATGGAAAACTCCTTGGTAAAATTGCTTATTTTAAAATTCTTGAATAATGACATAGTGAATGAAATACCCAAGCCAGTTGTGGCACTATGTGTAACGTTAGCAATAATTTTTTAAAAGTCTGAAATATCTTAATTGCCAGTCTGATTTTTACATATATACTAAGTATAATCACATATAAAAAATAATAATAATCAAGCCATTTGACATTTAGGCCAGTGATAACCATAAATTTGCACCCACCGTACACCTTTTTGTCAATATATTTTTTAATTCCATCAAGGGGAGGCATTATTATATGATGCTTAAAGCTACTGCAGTACCTACTTGATAATTTAATTATTGAAGTATACAGTCATCATATAAATAACAATGAATGTCCACCACTTGGAAAATGAGTCATAGATTCTACAAAGATACATAAAAAACATGGCTTAAAAACTAATAACAAAAAGGAGCCATGTATTGAATATTTGAAAGAAACATCTGTAACTTGAATAGGGGCACCTATGTATTGGTTGCTCTATTGTAATGCCTCTGGTAAAACTGGGTCAAGAAAGGTAGGGGAACAAAAGAACTTCATAGTACTGTGTAAAATTATTGGACATGGTTCAACACAGGTAAAATTATAGGTGCACATGTATATTTGTGGTTGTGGCTGAGAGATATATTCAATGCGTATGAGGAAATAACTGATCACTTAACCCTATGAGATACATGTAATAAGGAACCCTAATGATAAGTTGGAAGAGAACTGTGTTCAATCTGTTACAGGCAATTTGTTTGTGAAGGATTTTCACCTGTTCAGGTAGGTACAAATACTATCAAGAAGCCAGATTCACAGCTTTTGCGGGAAACATATATACTCATACCACAGATACACTCTGGACTAAGTTTGTGTTAAATTATAGTAAACTTCACAGGTGTACTGTACAAGGTGTTATCTTTTGAGGTGAGAATTAAAGTAAATGGAATCAGTTTCATTCATTATTTCATCTCGTTTCATGTATGTCAGACAGACAATAGAATTGGTACACTGTAGTAGTAGTAGTATATATAAGATGATGAAATCTTACAACCTCACTGTGGTTCTTTTTGGGATTTTTTTACATGTACATGTACATTCAGTGTCCATGCAGGACAATTATTAATTTTCTTTCATTGCTATGGCTGTAATTCTTTAAACATGTGTGTATACTCATATACTATTAAGATCACAGAATCTGTTAACAATGAGTATAAATATAAAATAGCATGATCCCAATCAGCTCCTCATTGCTCAGTTTATGATGTTGACACAATGTTCTGGTGGCTACATATTCATGTATTTATCACCAACTTGATTGCCTCTCAGATAAGGTGGGAATATGTGAAACAGAAATTGAATAGTCTACAGCAATCTCTGAAACAAAAGTGTAGGTCAATATAGGCTACTTCCTTCCCTGTTTACTCCAGTAAAATTATGTCAAGTCACAGGTGAGTTCAGGTAAGTCATTATATGGGAGCCATTTATTGCTTACTGGAGCATAGCCCGCTGATGCATACCGATAGGGATACTGCCTGTACTGAGGCTGAGGAGCTTCTAGTAAGTTATTTTTTACTGAGATGAAATAAGAAAAAAAGAAGTACATAGTGTTTTCCTTTTTATATCCATTGGGATAAAGCATGAACATAATTATTCTAATTTCAATGATAATATTCAAGAATGCAGGAGAAGATTTTTATTTTGAATATAAGAAAATATTTGTTTCTTATATTTTCCATATGTAAAGGGTCTGTACTATACACTACTGAGTATTATATGTGTTTTTATACCAAAGGCGTTGTTATCTTATCATAATTTATATATTAGATGCACAAAGAAATGTGAACAAAATCTTCCTTGAGATGACTTAACTTGCCTTGTGCTTGGACCCACCAAACAGTGATGGGTCCCTTAAATTTAGATAATATTACTTTTTTATTCATTATTTATCCAGAAGTACCAATGGTTCAGTACTCACAGTTGCTTTCACTGGTTCAATGTTTAAAAAATCCAATTATTCATTTACCCGTTTACACTGATATTGCTTTGTTGCTTATATGGTCAGAATAATAGGTTCACTTAAACACTGATGAAGATAGATTTCATATCTTGGACCCATCACACTTGTTGTACAATGGGTCCAAGAATTATAACTTTGCATTCACTTTATACGTATATATGTCCTCACTAACAGTTAGTCAAAGTGCCAATCTGTAACAATCCTAGTTCCTAGATAAGATCATCCTGTTATAGACATTGTTGTGGTTTACCAAACCGAAAATATACTTCAGGCATTCAGCCAAGCATTGTTTACCAACAAACAGGTTGGCCAGTGCATGGTAAATTGTCCATGATTTAGTTCTTTTTAGTTAAGTTGCAGCCAAATGGTAGGGTAAAAAGCATGCTCTCTTTGCTGGGAACATTACTGCACTTTGCACCAAAAAGAAATTATACTTTTTGTATTGCTGCCACTTTGGATGACTTAATTCAATCTTGTTGATTAATCTGAAAACTTATGCTGATGG